TAACAGCAGATGAGGACCTTTAGACTTGACGATCTTTCTGAGAGGCCATGACATGCCATTCAAGCCTGGCAGTTTGACTTGGATGGAAATGAGGGCTCGTCATAGCCTCACAATTCCATCGATAGCGAAGAAGAGCATGGATTCGCCGCGCCACAGTCCACCATCGTTCTAGATATGACTCGAAACTCTAGGTACACCACCATGCTGCACCTTCGCCCTGTTGGGTGAAGGCGCCCAAGACCGTGTCGATCTCCAACGCGGGCCGTCCGGGTTGGCGACCCCCACCGGTCGCTGGTCGGTCAGACGTGCTCCGGTGAGGTGACGGCGCAGACGCGCAGACGTGCTCGGACGAGGGCCAAAGAGAGGTAGCCAAGGGTAGCCAATCAATATTTGTCACTGCAGGATCTGCAGGTATAGTGAGCTCATTTTCTGTTTTCAACATGTAGGCTTTCAGAATTTATAGTTTATAGAGTCAAGTTAATCAAGTGTTATTTGCGCAGACACAACATGTTCCTCAATCAAGGTCTCCCGGTTTCCCAAAAAGTAACATAAACCATCACTCATGATCACCAATTATTCACTACACTTTTATGCCACCGTGTATTGGGACGCACGAGGTTTTCAGTTTCCCACCAAAGTCATTGCTTGCGACTGACCTGGTCGATGTGGACGATGTGGATTTGAGGTGTGGCGCTCTCTCTCTCTCTCACAAGACCAACATCGACATTCATGGCTGTCCCGACATCGACTTGGAGCCAAAAAGACGAGGGTTGTCTTGATTTCTGGCCACACACTGTTCAGCTTGCATGGACATCTTTTTTTGTCACGTCAGGCATTTAACTCTGCTTGTTTGCCTGGAGATGCACGACTTGCAGCTGCTGCAGCATTTGCTGGCAAGTGCATAGAATTGGGGTGTGCCACAAGCATGTTTGCATAAGCATTGTCAGGAAGAGTGAAGATGACGCCTTAACAGACTACAGATTTAACATGATTTAACACTATTTTCAGTGGGGGAATTGCAGCCCCTCCTCACATAAGCAGAGTAGACCGGACTACTGTTTAACCCCTCGTACAAAGCTTCAATGGTGTTGGAGGTAGGCAACATGCGTCCAACAGATTGCATGTGTTGGCTTTAATGTGAACATCCAGAAGCTTTTTCTGGCGCGCCATGCCTCATGCCATGGCTGGCCTTCGGACTTGCTATGGCTGCAGCTTTGGTAGTGGCAGATCCCAAGCTTGCAGTGAACAAATGGAGTGGTTGTGCTGAGGCAGGGACCTGCTGGTTACGCCAGGTCCCTTGTTGTTTGGAGACGCCTGACCAGTGAACGAGCAGGATAGACCAGTGAAGACTGAGCTGAGCACACCACGACTCGGTCACATGTTTTTTCTTCCAAAACATATTGGTCCCAAGAGCTGCACGTGACCGAGCTCAGCAGGTCACACCTGGCAGCCCTTTTCCGTTGTACTTCGAGCCGTGTGCTACAGCAGAGTGGGAGGTGCTGCTGGACGACAACGACAGTAAGTCGCAGCTCACAGCGAAGCTGACGCTGCCCGAGGAGAGCAGTTTTTTTCTTTCCTTTACAGTTGAAATGGGAGAGTTCTTTTGGATGTTGATAGATTTTATGGATTCATTGAGTATCAGTATATGAGTATATATATTGTATAATATACATATATACATGTATAACTATATATATAGACTTGGAAAAAAGATAGAGACGATCATAGTCATAACAAAGCATGTTATATGGAATCCATCATCTAATGTGTATAAATCTATCTATCTATCTAACTAAAGAGACATACAATGCAACACTGGTTTCTGATCTCCAAATCCTTGACACACTTCACGGCAGTCTTGCTTGTCCCACCTCGCTGCAAGATCGGAGAGGCTAAGAACCTGTTGGGCTGCACCGAGCACAAGTTGAACTTCGATGGCAGCATCGTACTACTCCAGCGAGGGGGGTGCTACTTTTCCTGGAAGGCGGTGTCCGTGTCCACGTGTTCGACGATCGACGCACAGGTCTCTTCGGTCCGGGGAACCACGGTGCGGGGACTCTTTGCTTCAGACCCGTGAAAATTCACTCGATGGAAAGTTAGGGTTGGTTCATGATGGGTTTCATCCAGTCTTGGACTTGGGGCTGTCTCAATCTGTCTTTTTTGATGTTTGTGTGACCTGTGAGGTGCTACTGGCTGAAGCAGCAGGAGCCGGAGCAGTCCTGATTTTCGACACGGCTCCTGTCCAAGTGACAGCCATACTTGCAGTTCCAGGGCCTTTTCCAAATCCCAGGAGGGCATTCACAACTTGTTAAATCTTCAAATTTGAGGCTCCGTTGCTGTCACGTGTCCATTTCTTCTTGACCACACAACCCTGACATTGGAGGATTCCTGGCTATTTGATTTCTCGTTCTCAAGGTGAAGAACTACTGGCAAGATTGGATGCTTTCAAGACAGTTTCGGACCAGTTTCAAGTCTAGTTTTGCTGGAATTTGCAAACTTACATTGACAGTGGGCAGTGGGCACAGTGTTTTTTGCTCAAAGGCTTACCCTTGAGTACAAGCCACAGAGCAATTTAGTTTCGAGTTGCATACACGAATCTTAAATCAATCACGGGACAAGCTGATTTGCCTTTTCCTTTTCTGCAATGAGCTTAGGATGGTGGTGAGGAGGTCCAAATCCTCTGCAGCTGGAGCCCTGTAGATGTGTGGTTCAATCTTCCAGAGTCCTCTCGCGAATCCAACGACAGCATCATCTTGCAGAACTATGGGGACGAAGACATGCACTGGGTGGTCGATATCATCGACACCAATGCGAGCTTCGAAACGGATCCGTTCTACACGGCACGCTTCAACAAGGAGCAGGCAGTCTTCAACACATCCGAGATGAAGGACCTCGCAGTCTTTAATACATCCGTCCAGAACTCAGCCTTCTCAAGGGTTCGAGGAAGGCGTCTGTAACTCATTGATTAGACCAGAGACACGAATCATGTGCTGCACGAAAGCAAGACAATGCAACTGTCACCATGTCAGACCCAAAGCCGCCGACAGAGCAGAAACTCACTTCCCATTCTCAGCCCTCAAGGCAGAGGAATTGGAGCTGGCAGAGCTGGATGATGACTTCCATCTTCTTAAGATGCCATTTCGATTTCCACATTACCTCGATTTTAAAGAGGACGTCTTTGTGTCTTCGAATGGTCTCTTGGCTGGAAAACCATTGTTGGATCGGAGTGAGGATCGAAGAGCTGGGCTCTTTTTGGATCTCGCGCTGTTTGAAAAGACTTGATCGAAGTGTGTGGAAAGTCCCCCGTAGGGCCAGCTTCTTGTGGTGTTTGCATTGTTGCAGCTTCTTTGTAATCTCTTCTCTATGACAAGCAGAAAAAACTAAGCTCTGTGACCATCTTTGCGAAAGCTTCTGTCAGCCTGAGGTGTTTTGGTGTTTGATCGTGTCTTCTCCAACATAGTCGGTTCAATTGCTGACTTCGTTGCACCAGCTGCTCTGATCGCACCCCTATGGGCAGATTTGTTTGGTGGCTCTGTCTCTGGACGAGGCACTGCAGTGTTGCACGGGCAAATTTGCAACTGTGCCACGTCCCGTGTTGTTGGTCATTGGTGTTGTCGCCTGGCGCGATGAGCACACCAAACACTTCTGCAGCATGTTTTTGGCATGCCGGCGATGAACCTCTGCAAACAAAACTTAATTTACTATATATATATATATACAGTTGTTTTGCACTAGGAACCAAACAACGATGTAAATATCGATGTTTTTGACCCTCAGCAAGCAACACATGTGGTATTTACATGTATTTACGATGTTGTACCCCCCCCGAAATCGAGTCTGAGTCGGTCCCTGCGCCAAATCACTGTCAAATCAGGGGCGCGGTGTCCAAAAGCTGCTTCGGTACCACGCCGACGCCTCCGTTGTAGGGCCTTGTTTCTTCGGTCCGTGCGGGCCAAACCTGACAACAGTGGAGCCCCAAAGGTGCCAAACGTCGCTTTCTGACAATTGTTAAAGTATGATGTATATATATATAACTATAGAGTCCATAGAGAACTATTATCAGTATCATCAGTCTATAGAAATATGGAGTCTATCTATCTATTGGAGTCGATCTACGTATAGTATACATATCTGCTCATGTATCACACACTCATATCATCCCCACACTAGTATAGCCCCTTGCTTGGCCCTTTGCTCATATCAACCACTACACATCGCCGGCTCTGACAGAGATGGACACTTGCCCAGATACACATAAGAGACATGGTATGAGATGATACGAATATCATAAACATGTGAGATGACATGAGTCTATGACACTGTCCTATGAGTATGAGCCTTTTGTGAGATTCGCTTTTGGGCCGTCTTGCGGTTCTCCCACTGGAACGTGCAGGTGACGTGCAGCGCTTGGTTCTACGCTTCCAGGGCTTTTGGTTGAAGCCAACGGCGACAACGAAGCCATCAGGTCCATTCACCTTTGAAGTTGGCTTGTTGAACGACGGTGAGATCCACGTCCGTTGGGACACTTGGTCAGCTTTGGGAGAACGACGGCTTTTTTTTCTGACTGGTGCCCCCCTGAGATGTAAACACCAGTAGCTAGACACCACTGCCAGTCCAAGTTTCCAGTTGCAGACTTTCTGACTGCATCCACTACACAAATGGATACATGAACACTTGTTTGAACACTGCAGTTGAATCCAAACATATCCAAATTCGAAACACACGGTACCATCGCTGCGTACGATGTTCGCCGTCCAGGAAGCGTTCCCCAGCACTGAAGGTTGGCAAGGGCTGGTGCAAGTGGGCTTGGAGCCTGGCAGCGGAGCCAAAGCGCTGAAGCTCAGTGCTCTCATTCCTTGGTTTCAAGGTCCGCCTCTCAGTGTATCTCTCGTGCCACGCTTGAAACTTTCAACTTCGCCCAGTCGATTGTCTCCGAAGCAGTTCCTGACCATCAACATTGACATCACCAGCGCTCTTCCCCTTGATTGGCTCTTCTTCTACGCACAAAAACGTCACCTGGGATCTTGGCATCCACGGCGCAACGTGCGACTGCTGCCCCGAAGCTTTCGCTATGTTTGGGTGCTCAGTGCGTGGGACGGTGGTCTGCACAGCGGCACCTGTGCCGAGTTCGACGGAGTCCTGCGACGGAGCAGGACTCGTAGATGTGTTGGAAGCGATGGAGAGGACTACAACGAGAGCTACTGTGTTGGCAGCTGCCTGGACATCTCTGAAGACTTCGATTACCCAATCAAGCACATCTGGAAAGACGGCTACAACAATCGCTGCGAGGACTACCGAGCTTTGTCTTTCTGCAACGCCACTGGCTATGGGCCGAAATGGCAGAGTTGGTGGGGGAGATTCGAGGATTGGGTCTCCAGTGGCCCTGGTGCTGGTGAGGCATGTTGTGTTTGTGGTGGAGGTGTCCTCTCCATATCTCCACATGTATCTGAGGAGTGTCCCAGTGTGAAGTGTCCAATCAACTCGCTGGGCCTGAATGTGCTCCGCGGCTGCAGCTGCCGCGCAGGATTCCAGGGACGGGTGACACCCTTAGCGCAAGATCCATACTACGCAGGACACTGTTCTCCAGTGGCTTGCCCGAAACATTCATCTGGAGATCATGTAGCAGATGGTTGTGTTTGTGATGAGGGCTACATTGGTAGCATCATCCCATCCAGCGAAGAACCTTTCTTTACAGGTAGTTGTCAGGCAAAGGCAGCAACAACGTTTACATGGACCACAACCACAAGTGGCAGTACGACAAGCACTACTCAACCAAGCACATCAAGGAGTGCCGGAACCTCAACCACATCTATGCACTCATCTCATACTTCCACCAATGGGGCTTTGACCTCTTGGAGACACCCCCGGGTCACTTCAACTAGCTCAAGTTCCACCAGCCCAGAAAGAACTATGGCTGGAACACCGCTGGAAGGACGAAACGTCCAGTTCTCCAGCACCAGCACCAGCAGCAGCAGCAGCAGCAGCAGCAGCAGCAGCAGCAGCAGCACCAAACTTCGAACATCAACTTCACTCCCATCTACATCGACCGAAGTGTCCATCACTTTTACGCAAGGGTCCAGCACCAGCCAGCACCACTCAGACGCAACTGAGACTACATCCAGCACCCCTCAGATGCAGAACATCACAAAGACATCGACTTCCTTTACATTTACATCAACCTTTCGACCTCCGACAAGTTCAACAACTTCCTCTGAACTCTCAACATCACCTCTGAACTTCAGGCAGAACATCTCAACTTCATTTGACATGGTGTCATGGAATCCAAGGACCAGAAGCACAAGCTTCGCACTAGCTTCGCACTCAACATCGAGGAAAGGAGCACCGTCACACCCGTCACACCCGACCACGAGCAGGGCGGCCACGAGCACCTTCGAGCACAGTCGCGCTTTCACGACATCTCCCAGCGGAGATTTTGAACAACAGGAGCGCGAAGGAGCTGTAGCGGCCAATGTGGAGCAATCTGCGCAGGTGGAAAGGCCCAAAGAAGTAGGTCTGGACACATCCACCAGTCGCAAGGTATCAGCCTCAGAGTAGATTGCAAAGAAAAGCATGAAAAAGCATATATTATGAATTGGCCTTGTCCACCAGAGCTTGCTGAAGTGACATAAGCAAGTGATAGCGAGTGTGAGAACTGATGCAGGGTAGACAAAACAGATGATAAAAGGTGTCCAAACAATGATGCTGGATGTTGCTGGATGTTGTGAGTTCTCTTTGCTTTCTATCATGCGGTCATAGCGCTGAGCAACCTGAACAAAAAATCATCGAACACAACTACAACATACTACTACGTCCTGAAAGATTAACATGGAACCTGAAAACCACGTCGGGTTGTAGAGGAACATCGTCTTCCAACATTTTCCAAACATCCATTTTCAGGTTAATCTTCCCGGATGGAACCCATTTGGCAAGGTCGCGGCCATGCTGATGCAAGGCTTCAGACCGGGAGGGAGGTCGTCACCAGACCGCGAGCGACGGGGCGACGGGTTGATGCTTCACCCATGCCGGCTGTGAAGTCAACCTCCCTCACCAAACCATGGCAGGTTGACACCTTTCATATGGAATCTGTTCATTTTCGGTCCAAGGTCAACCCAGGATTTGACCCACACCCATATGGCTTAAACAAATAGTTACAGACAGCTCAGTCGGAATCCTTTTTTTCGGTCCACTTGGAACTACACTATATATATACCTGTTCTCTGTTCAGTGCTCAACAGTTGCCCGGCAGAATCTATGGTGGAAGTTGCAACAGTTGCTTCAAGTGGGATTCTTCGGACCATCTTCAATGGAAGATCATGGAAGATCCTCAACGGATGTCAACGTCCCATTTCGTCAGGTTCAGAGAGCTCTGGGCCCTCAGCATCAGCACTGATTGTCATTCTGCTGATTTTCATGCCTTGCTTAGCCCGAGCCTAAGATGTGATGGGCGACAGAGAGAAATGTGGCGTTTTGAGAAGCCGAGTTTGATTGACAAATGCTCGAATTCTGCAATCTGCAAGCAGAGTGGGCAGCTTGTATCATTGTATCAGCTGGTCAGATAATATTATCCTGGATCAAAGTTGCTTCAGGCTTGCTTTTGTGGTGCAGGACGATTCCTGGCAACAAAGGCGCAGCTCATCAGATTTACTGTACCATTTTCCTCCAGTTTTCACTTTTCACCATATCTCGGGATCAAGCATTGTGATGTAGATATGAATAGAAAGAACTATATAAAATTATATATAAATATGTACATACAAAGATCGATGAAGCAAGCATAACTATAGAAGCTTCGTGTCTTAGAGTCGCCAGGTCACACGAGTCACACCGCTTCTTCCGGGAACGGAAGCAGCGAGGGACACCGCGGTCCGTGGACCCGTCCGTCCCGGTCCTGTCAGCCCTTTTGGGAGCCCTGCCGGTCCACCGGTGGTGGTGTGTGCCCCTGTGCGGCATGCAGAGCATGCTGTGAAAGAGGCATGACACATGCCATGCTGTAAAAGAGGAAAACAAAAGAACCATGGGTCATATTTAAACAGCACTGTTCTGGCTTACTTGATTCGATTCGTACAGCACAGATTTAGGTATGCCGTAGATTCATATGCATACGGCACTAGATTTGTGAGCGAAAGGGCACACATTCTTTGGACATTCTTCGTAGCAATCCCGATTTCTTTGAGCCATATCCAGATTGATTTATTGCGCTGATAAAAAATCAGCAGCTTTGCAAATGTTCACCTGGCAGAATTTTTATGTCACTTCAGCCACCTCCAGTTTGGACGGTGTCGGAATCTCAGCCTGTCAAAGATGCAGGTTCGCCAATGCTCCTGGCCTTGTTTGCACCTTCCCTTGTTTCAGGAGACTCAAATGTGGCAATCGTGACCGAAGTTACTCCAACGTCGGACATTTCAGCAGTTAACTCCCTGTAAGAGACGGAAGCAGAAGGGAGGGGAAGAATAGTCGTAGCTTTTAAATGCTTTGAATGCATCTCTGTATCAATCAATGCCAGACTTCTCAAAAAAAAGAACGAAAAGCATCGAACAACTGAGGACATCATAGACCTTCTGTTTGACAGATATGCAAAGTCATGCAAAGCCGTTTTTACTTCCCTAGGCTGAACTAGGGTGATGCTTTCAATCTTGTTGTGTGCGTGTGTCGTATTCTCTTCCAGTAATAGCTGCGTGATGGTGATTGGTTTCTGTGCCGCACCAGTGCGCGTTGCGCCATTGGCTTGAAATGGGACATGCTGGAATAAGGATTTGAAGACTGCGAGAGCCAAAAGAAAGCTGCTTTTCACAAGTCCGACAGTCCGACAGAACACGAAGTCGGACACAAATACCCTGTGCTGGTCGCATGGAAGACAGGTCGAGAATGCAGCTGAGCAGAACTTGATTGGTTGGGACGTCCGGGACACCTTCCAAACTTAAAGGGGGGGCTGAAGGAACTGACCGATAAATACAGTCAAGAAGAACTGAACAATCAGCCCTGGTGTTTGAACCAGAAGCAGATCCGAAGCTGTTTGAAGTTGGGTCTCCAACGGAGAACTCCGCTGTTTCAGCTGAAGCTTCCAGACTTCCAGCTGAGTTGCCATTTTCGAGAACTCAGCAGGCATCACGCTGTATATTTATGGAGCATTGATTCCAAGCCAATCTCTTTCGCATTTTTGACCATTTTTGTAAGCATCAAACATCATCAATTCTGTTTGCCTTCATGGCTGCCGTGGAGCTCTACCAGCACCATGTGCGACCATCGTTGCGTGCGTCCCGACCATGCGCAGAACGAGGTCCTAGCAGACAAGGCGGTGAACTGTGTGTCACTGTCTGACATGTCACTGATCGGACCATGTGTGAAAAAGACACATTTTTCAAGAGTGCTGTTTTCTTTGTCTTTGTTGGCATTATGAGCATGTTCTTCAGCCCATGTTACTCGTTGTTTCAGGACTTGCAAAACCAGTCTTGGCCACTGCTGCTGCCTTCTGGTCCAGGTGCCCCGAGAAATTGGGATCGATCATGTCAGATCAGCTGTTCTAGCAGTGTCTCAACATCTTCCTGTTTGACGATCCATGGATTCATGGCAATGTTCCAAGTTGAGAGCCGCAAGGGATTATGGGCCTGTGTCAGACCAAAAACAGCCTGGCAATCCCTGCTAGCGATCTTGCTCAACCTGCCAAATGGGTCGCTGTGGGATGTGAAACTCGACGAGACGCCGTGGACGCTTGCACCTTCCAGTCGTTTGGCTTTGAGGCTTCATGAACGTGCCACGGACAAAAGCCAATTCTGATGCTCACAAGAGTCAAGAGAAAAACTGGGAAGGGTCGTAGCTAGCAAGATGAACCAAGCAAGGGACCTCTCCTCATTGAACCCCCAGCAGATAACAGTGTTATCCTATGTTATCCTAGCCGCTACAGATCGCAGATGACATGCTGTGGTTGCACTGGTTGCAGCTGGCGGCGGTGCTCGCAGATCCGGAGCTACTCACAGACAAATGGAGCGGGTGTGGCGAGGTGACGTCCGATGACGAAATCCCCCTCTTCTTCTCGCCCTGTGCTACGTCCGAGTGGGAAGTGCTTCTCACCGACACTGTGGCCAATCATCACAAGCCAAGGTGGGGTCAGATCAATCTCATGGATAAGTCATGAATATAGATACAGTATATATATACAATTAAGTGGATTTTATAAACACATCCGACATGCATGACATGTTTGGCACGTGCATTCGTGAACTCAGGAATCGGACCTCAGGGTTTGACTCGTTGGCGAACAAAACGTACTCCATTCGTACTCCAGGAATGCAACAGCACTTCTTCGGCTTCCAGAAAGCAACAATCGACAAGGATGTGGCCCACATCCCAGCATGCACTTCGAGAACAGGATTGCGCTGATCGAGCGAGGAGCCGGGCATGGGTTCGGATCGCTTGTGTTCTCTGTCTGTTCTTCAGCACATGCAAAAGATTCCTTTTGAGACAAACTGATCCAGCTCATTTGATTGGAATCCAGTCGACTCGAAGCTGTAACTTTGTAGCATGGGAGACTCCAAACACAAAAGCTCTGCAATCTACAACACATCAGATTCTGAAGGCTAAAAAAACCGGGCAAGGTCACGTTGTCGTTGAGTTGTATTCAATCTATAAAGGTAGATCAGACAACTACAGTAGGAGATATGGAAACAATGTTTGGAGAGAAGAGGCAGACTTGAAAGCCAGCCAAAGCATCCCAAAGCACCCAGGAAAACACAAAATGATGCGAGCAGCATGGGAAAGTCAGATCAGCTTCTTTCAGATGGCTTTATCCAAGCCATAGCCAAAGAGAGATCAGGCAGATGAGGGAGAGAGAGAGAGAGAGAGAGAATGGTCAAGCTCGAAAGCACCGAGCCACGTGGCTCGATGCAGAGACAGACCACGCCACGGGAGATCCGTCGAAAAAGCCGAAAACGCCGGGCCGAGCCTCGAGCCTCGAGCCTGGCTGGAAAACACGACCAGCTTGGCCTGGTCCTCTCCTCTCCCTCCCTCTCCTCCCTCTCCTCCCTCTCCTCCTTCTCCTCCCTCTCCTCCCTCTCCTCCCTCTCCCTCCCTCTCCTCCCTCTCCTCCGTGGACCACACTGAGACCACTGGTGGAGAATATCGCCACCGTCACCTCTCTTCCTCATTGATTTGGTCGGACTAAGCCTTTGTCATTTTGTCTTCATTCGTGGTTTCATGGGTTATATTATGGTTATTTTCTAGGTTCCTGCCACATTTTGCCGCAGTTGCATACCAAATGAAGTGGACATTGTAGCGGTTGCAAAGACAGCCATGAAAAGAAGCAAACATGTTATGTTGTGAAACACAAATCAAGCGACATACATGTACGCATTGCCTCATTCTCTGGAGGAGGGTTACATGTTTCGTGTCTTTTTTCACAATGGATAGAGGGCAACATGTGCATTGGAATGCCTTGGGGCATTTCGTACCTTTTTCATACCTTTTCAACTAACATTCGGTTGAACTCGTTCTCCATTCTTCTCTTCAGTCGCCTTCAGTTTCTTTTCCTTGCAGGAAGCTGCTATTTTTCGTGGAAGGTCGTACTGGCCGAAGAGGCTGGAGCTTTGGCCGTGATCATTTTTGACACCGTGGACCCTCAGTCGACGGCTGTCCTTGCCATTGCTGGGCCCTTCCCAAATCCCAGGACCGGTCGATCGGTCGGTGGCGCTCGTGCCGAGTCGAGTGACGCGACGCAGCGTTACGCGCAGCTGGAGCTTTGGACGTAACTCGATGATCTGGTCGAGTCTGAAAGGAACACGACGAAACAAGTAAATCGGATCTGTTCCAATTTACAAACCTCTCCGACCAGGTACGACCCCAACGAACGGTAAAGCTGCCTACTGCCGGATGCCGGATGCGTCCGACGGTTTCCAGGATTGCGGCCTACTTGATTTCCAAGGAACAGGGCCTGGCCTTGGTCGGGCGTTTGGCGACTCTGGCAGCACTAGTGCCACCATGTCAGCCCAGTGCCACCAGTCATCAGTGATCATCGCCATGTATGGAAAACACCATGAAAATTCGGGCTGGAAAGGGTCAATGTGGGGGGCAAAGGCCTAGATTGCACTGTTCCAGTGCCTTCCTGGATTGTTTGCCTTCCTTGGTTTCATGCAATCCTAAAATTGAAGTGTCTCGAAGTCTTGCACTTCCTAAGGAACTCGGAGATGACATTGAGATCGTTTGCAGTTGGAGTCCGATAGAGGTCTGGTTTGGCCTGCCAAATACATCAGGAGAATTCAACGACACACTGAACTTGGAGAACTATGGAGATGAGGACTTCAGCATCAGAAAAAGCTTCGTAGATGGCTGCGAGATGCGGTGAGTAAGATTGAGTAAGTGCAATCAACTACATGCTAGTGTTCCTAGTAGTAAGTATGCTCCTGGTAGCGATGCCAGGAGCCCCAAATGTAGCGATGCCAGGAGCTCCTAGTAGTTGAACCTTCGCATCGCACGGGTCGTTTCTCAGGAGATGCGCTGGGTGTTGGATGTCATTGACCACAACAAGAGCTTCGAGACGGATCCGTTCTACACGGCCCAAGTGCTGTCATCGGTGACCTTCGACGCCTTCGAGACCTTCACCCAATTCTTTGACCTTTCTTCCTTCAATGGTTCGGACGCTTGAAATGAATCGAACGTGGAGGTTCCAAAGGTTGTCTTTTACAGGTTTGAAAGAGAAGAGTGAGGACGGATGAGGTCGAATGAGGTCGAATGAGGTTCAGGTTCTCTTTGTTTTTGGCTTGACCAGTCTTCCCTTCTATAGTTTCAATGACACTTCCAAGGTTCAGTCAGATGACGAAGCTCAACTTCTACCACTGCCATTTGTGTTCCCTCACTACCTGCATTTCTATGAGAAAGCCTATGTCTCCTGCAATGGTGCCCTTATTTTTGACCCTGTTTTGGATGAATTCACAAGACAGGCGGCAGTTCTTGGTTCTGGTGAAGGACCACATGCAGTGTTAGCAGCTTTGTGGGGAGACTTGCTTTGCCCTGAAGGCTCCAAAATTTCAGCTCGAAAAGCACAGGACGGTCTGACTGCAGCTGTGCGGTTTGAGGGACTTCGACACAAGAGTGATGTGAACCACACGGGGAATTTAACCTTTGAAGTTCGCTTACACAGTGATGGTCGAGTCCTTTTACTGCTGGAGGATTTTCCGAATCACACGGGTGCGCCTGCAGACCTGCAGGATGCACTGGCAGCACTTCAAGTCGGTTTGCAGCCCGCCACAGGTGCGCGTGCGTTGAGTGTGCAGGTGCCATGGTCAGCTGGAGCACCTTTGGCCATTTCATTCACTCCTTGGCTGATGCTGGAGAATCTGAGCTCTTCGGATTATTCCGTGGCTCCAAACCAATCCACCACAGTGAGCCTAGCTTTTGAACGTCAAGCTGACCTCTACGGCTGGGTGTTCTTTTACGCAGAGAGGAGCATCGGTACCTGGCACCCAAGGAGGAATGTCCGCTTCACTCAACGCATGTTTCGATATTATTGGGCCATTAGCGCTTGGGATGGTGGCATGCATAGTGGCAGCTGTGCCAGTGGCTTTGTGCGTCGACGGAATCGGACATGTGCTGGTAGCGATGGCGAAGTCTATGACGACAGCTTCTGCATTGGCAGTTGCATGGATAAAGACCCAGTTCTATACTGGGATTATCCGCAGAAGCGAGTCTGGAAAGATGGCTACAACAACCACTGTGAAGACTATCGCGTTTTGGACTTTTGCCGACCAGATGGGACTACTGGATCCAAGTGGCAGTCTTGGTGGGGTACCTTCAATGATTGGGTCACCAACGGTGAGGACGCTTCCTCTGCCTGCTGTCTTTGTGGTGGTGGGACATATGCTGTGGCCTTACCTCATGTCGAGGAGACTTGCCCTACAGTCAACTGCCCTGCGAACTCCGATGGGTCCAACGTGTTGGAAGGCCAGGCACCTGAGAGAACGTGACACATGCTGAGCTGTGCCGAGCTGTGCGGCGGAGCGGTGTTAATTGGTTCACAGCGGGGCCCGTGTTTGGGCTGCCTTCCCGAAATCAAGCAAGATCAAGGTACTGTACATTTGCATACATTTGCAAAATCATGCAAATAGATCATTGTATATGTATATGCGTGTATAATATACGACTGTTATGTTTTCGGATCACATGGGAGTGGATGTTATGGCATCACCTCCTTTTCTCGTTGGATTGTGACCGACCCCGAACAGGATGTCGCTGTCGAGCTGGATTTCAGGGTCAGATCAACCGCTCAGACGACTACCCCTACTTCGCAGGAGCCTGTTGGCCGGTCGCCTGTCCGGAGCATTCCACTGGCTATGTGCCCTACGGCTGCACCTGCGAGGATGGTTACATTGGCCACATCACGCCCAGTGACTTCGAACCGTTCTTTGTTGGCAGCTGTGAGGAAACCACCACGAGCACCACAAGCACTTGGACTTGGACCACATCCACCAGCAGTAGCGTTACGAGCAGTATCAGCTCTACCACTAGCACGTCAAAGTCTACAACAAGCACCAGCAGTATCAGTAGCTCTACCAGCTCTTTCACTTTGACTACATCCACTGCCACTAGCACGTCAATTTCTACAACAAGCACCAGCAGTATCAGTAGCTCTACCAGCTCTTTCACTTTGACTACATCCACTGTAACCAGTTCCACTATGACAACTCGCACCTCAAGCAGCACTTCCGTGTCAACATCCACCAGAACCACACGGACAAGTACCAGCTCGACAGAGTCCATGACCACCCAAACACAAACCTCCACTTTAACAAATACAACTACGAGCTCTACCTGGAGTACAACCTGGACTGCTTTTACTACAAGCTTGAGCACAACTACCGTGTCATCCACGAGTACTGTCTCAGCAACGCAAACCGTCACAAGTACCGTGTCATCCACGAGTACTGTCTCAGCAACGCAAACCGTCACAAGTACCGTGTCATCCACGAGAAGTGTCTCAGCAACACACACTGTCACAAGTACTGTGTTCACGAGTACTGTCTCAACAACGCTTTCAGCCTCTAGTACCATGCTACCGACAACTCCAAAAGAGCCTTGCGAGACAACAGGCTCTTCTGAAAACACGTCAAACGCTTCAGCGGAACCAGGCACAGTGAGTTCTGCGGAACCGTCGCAAGCGTCGACGTCGAGTTCTGCGGAAGCAGCGAATTCTTCTGACAACTGGACATCGACCAGCGACGTGGGAAGCGTCACGAAGCTTTCCACTTCCGCTTCGGAAGCAGAACCAGGCCAAGGGCCATCCACTTCCGCTGAGACGCACAATCACAGCGAAGAGCTGGAATCCCTGAACAATTCCTCAGACCCGGACACTAACCTAACTTTGGCTGAAGAGGACGCGATATCCAACGCTGGAGTCTCAGAAACGGCCGCCCTGCAAACGTATCCTTGCGGCAACTGTGTTGTTACGATCTTTGACCCTGTGCGATTGCCGTCGCATAGTCGCAAGCACAATTATACCCATGCAAACGAGAAGGAATATTTACATATTTTGGTTTGGAGGGATCGGTGTCGGAAGCATATGAACTTGGTCGAATTCGGAAAATATGGGAGACATGACTTGTGTCCGTTCTTACCTGTAACAGTCAGCAAACAAGAACGTCACTATTTTTAGAGAAAGGCCTGCCACCTATCGATCATCATCCACTGGTAATGGGATAGACCCAAGATACATGATTAGTTTGCCTGATCAGTGTTGAGCGCAATCTACACACTCGGTTGATGCCTGTCCAAGCACCTTCCTCTTGTGATGTTCTTAAGGCCACAGAAGAAGCTGGTGTTTTGAGGCAACGGCAGTTTGCGGGCATAGGCTGGGCTGTTGCAAAGTCTTAATTGCCGATAAGCTCGCAGCGAGGGATTGTAGACCCTTAATCGCTGAAGGGTTGTTGGCAGACTCTGCCATGGGGCCAAGGCAGGCTTTGGCATTCTTTTCAGACTAGCCACCCACTTGCAAACTACCAATTGAGTCAATAGACAGAATGTTTGACAATGTTTGACATCAGGACATACAAGGTCATCCCCGGCTTCTGCCGTTTTGAGATCAGGTGGAACCAGAGGAACAGATGCGGCAATTTGTGATGTGGCATGTGATGAGGTGGCATGTGTTGTGAATCATGATAATGTGTTGTTGGACGAGGTGATGCAATGATGCCGTGTTGGGCGGTTTGATGTAGTTTGTGGTGGCCTTTATCATTTTCATCCACAGCCCTAATCAGGGAAGAGCAGCCATGCGGGGCGATATACATATTTATTCATATTTATAATATAATGTATATTGTATATGTATACATATTGACATACCGTACACAGTTTACTTCTTGCCAAACACACACAGTCCCTTTGAGGGTAGTAAGATGAAAGGAGTACTGTACCTCTGTGCGTCATTGACGCATTACTCTGCCAGTCGAACTGGAGAAGTCCTCATCGTTCTTGTTCGTGATCTTCGTCATGTTGCTTCTATGGGTGGCAGTGGCTTCGCAGCAATGTTAGGGAAAGAGGCGAGAGTTCAAGCAAGCCTGGGCGAGGGTCAAGCAAACAGGTTCAATCATCCGATCTGAACACAGTGAAGCAAAATTAAACAGCGAGTTCTGAACTCAGCGGAGTTCTGAACCTCAGGTTGCGCTCCAAGCTAGGAACCTATGGGACCCATGAACCATTTTGAACCGACCAACATTGAAAGCTGAGGCGATGTGCGGAGCCATTGTCTATTTCATTTCCAAAAAGACACGTACGACCACCGCGAGCAGAAAAGGACATGCACGACCACCTTCGAAGGCGGCCGCCCCGGTTTTCACTCCTTTTTTTCGTTCTTCTGCGGAAACCGGTTCCCCACCCGTTTTTGGACAGACAAGGGCTTATCTCGAAGATCCTCAATCCCTCAGACGACTCGTGCCGGCATCGGCGGCATCGTGGACGGAGTCGGGGCCATTTGTCAGATCGGTATGCGTGCGTTTGAGTTCAAGGAAGAGGATCCAAAGCATCTCAAGTTAGTCACATGTCCGGAGATGGTTTTTCTTCAAAGCCGGGACCTGTCAGGTCACTCCGCTCGAAGAGTCAACTTCAGAGGCAGAAGAGGTGGCGAAGGCACGAACTGAGATTTACTGAGGAAACGAACACGGCTGAAATGCTTCAAGGTTGAATTGGAGGTTGAGTTCTGGAGCTTGGGTAGAATTCCATCCTTTTTTTCCGCAGACACGTCGAATTCATGTCGAATTCTGTAGATCATCGTCTGTCTCGGCTTATCCTCGGTCTAGAGTGAGCGCCTCCGCATCACCCCAGCAGATCGTCTCCGCTCACGGACCGTCTCCACCCGCGCAGGTGCTGCGCGGGTGGTCTGAAGGCGACCTTTTGGTGCGGAAGGAGGGTGAGGACACAACGGAGTGAAGATGAAGAACAACCGTCCGCCGTAACTGGGTCGCCGCGAAGCGTCCAGACATCGGGCGGTTCCACGTACGAGGTCGGAACGCGTCAGACCGCGGACAGACAAAGGTTTCTGTCCGAAGGCTCCGGAATTGAGGAATTTAGGAAAGCTGCAATCTGATTTCATGTTTGAAGACATTTGAATCTTAAACCAGAGGAGGACATCCGGATTAAACAACAGTTCCTTCTTTCGTCCTGTCTTGTGTGAGGAGCTGCTACAAAAGCTCAAGACATTCTGGGCACAGCGTCGAGGCTGGAGAAAGATCTCCAGATGCGGCTTGAAAATAGATGACTCTAGGCTCTTTTGACTTGTTTTTGTCGAAGTGACCTTGCAAACACAAAAAGTTTTCTTGAACATTTGAAGACATGTCTTATTAGTCACAACATACAAGAGCTAAATTGTTGGAATTGCAACAAATGCAACCTCAACGCCTGGAGTTGCAACAAATGCAAAGAACACGTCATGATCCTGGCAGGCCGCGCATTCCGAAACATTCTGCCAGATCAAGAACGCCCTTCGTTCTTCGGCGACAGTTGAGTCTTGAGATTGATCGACAAAATGGAGACTTTCTTTGTTCACTCTGACGGTTTTCAGGGGGAATGCTGCGTAAGACTTAGCAATCTGGGCTCGTTGATTATTGAGCATGGTTTGCACATGTTGGCATGGTCTACTTGGCCCTTTCGTTGCAGAGGTCATTTGAGGGCAAAGTCCTGAATATCCTTCAAGAGTGGCGAAAAGAACAGAGCGATGCCAAGGACAACAAAGTGAGCAGAGAGATGCAGTTTCTTAGTTCAGTTGGTAGCAGAAAGAAAAACGACCAACGGCAACCACCAGAAGTCCTGCAAGCATTTTTGAGCAAGATGTCGCATTTTGTCTCAAAACAACCACAGACCCACAAAACACAAAGTGCCACAAAGTGCTTGGTGGTTGGTGAGGACACTTCATCGAAAAAGAAGCTCCTTCGCATGGCCGATGCTGCAGAGAGAATCACACTGTGTCTCTTGGAGTGTCGTCGCTCTCCGTCCTCCAAACTGGTCCGGGCGTGGTCAATCACGAAACGTGCGTGGGAAACAATCACAGGAGGAGGATTTCGGATTTGACAACAATCCTATCCCTACAGTCAGGTCAGGAACTGACCTCATTTTACTGCAGTTGATCATACAAATATACTACTTAATCAATCTCAATCAGGTTTCTCCAGGACCAGGTTTTCCCGGGACAGACAGGACCTGTCAGTCCTGGACCTGGCCCTCCTGGTTGGTTTTGACTTCGAAAGAGATCGAAGTCCAGACCTATCCCGCCTATCCCCATCTCCCACCTGACCTCTTGGAGGTCGCTTCGGCGGTCTCCGGTCCAACGCGTCCGACGAGACGCGCGCGGGACGGACGTTCCGGTGGTCCTCTCGGTGTAGACTCGGTTGGTGCGAAGCCGTTCAGCCGTAAACGGTGACAAAGGCCCAAGACATCCCAAGACAGCATGATTTGTGTCAATCGGTTTTGAAAAGAAATGCCGCATAAATGAAAAACAGAGGCTACGAACCGACAGGGGCAGTCCAGCGCAATCAATTGAGCCTGGCCAACGGGCCCTTCTTGAGCACTAACACACACCAACACTCGTGGGAGTACTCATCACTTCCGCAGATAAGGCCTATGTGTTTTTCACAGCGAATATGCCAATAACATGACGTCGCGTTCTTTCACGTACTGTATACAGTCAGTGTTTTGCAAACATGTTGGCCTATGTTGGCCTTATTTTGTGCCTTAGCCCGTATCATGCCTCGGTATGCCTCTAAATGGTGTACCTCCGCTTCCTTTCTTAAGCGATTTTAGGAGTGTTTTTGGGTTTCATGGCAAATTGATGCAACTTGCACTGTAACATAGTTTCCTGCTTCCCAGAGTCGTTTTCCTTTCCTAGCCAGCACTACAACTGACTACGACACCTTGTACATTCTTAACAGAATCTCATGAGGTAGACACAAGATGACACCAGCTGAGGTTCTGAAGAAGATAACTTTGCTAGCCTTCGAAATTCTATCGAGGAGGAGTGGCTGAAGCTTGCTCGCTCGTGCAAGGACATGCAGGACGTGTAGGGCAACACCCGGTGCTGTGTCGAAAAGGGCAGTCAAGGCTTAAACACGTCTCAATATTGTCCTTTCTAATATTATGTGTATATATATATATGTATTCAACATACCAGTATAGTATAGTGGTCCCCAAATAGATAGTGGCACGGTTTCCAATAGATTCTGAATGTGGGGATCGACTTTTCTATAATTGAGGGGACACAGCGCCAGCACAGAGCGTAGCCTCGCTGAGAGGATCCGACGGACTCAGCTGCTACGACCCTTTTGATGAGACGCTCGAGCAGTAGCCTTTGCTCAGTGAATGTGGCAGGGATCTTTGCAGAGCAAGTCCTGGAGCTTTACAAGAGCCATGCCGAGTTGCTGAAGCAAGAATTCGTCATTCATGTTCAGTGGGTAGGTGGTAACCGAGGTGATGGTTCCAGCACCAGTGTTGTGTTTAGCGGTTGATTTCAAGCTCAAGAATTGAAACAGGCCTGTCTCACCTTGCATGAGGCTCTGGAGCTCACTTGAGAGTCCTGCAGTCACAGATGCCATTTGCGAGTGGAGCAAATCTTCGGGACATTTGGACGACCTCAGCGAAGACACTAGACAAAGACTGCGAGAGGATCTTCAGGAGGCTGCAACAAAGACAGACGAGATGTTACTCGGAAAACACTCACATGAAGCAGGGAACTTTGCAGACATGATGCAGCTTATGGCATAAACACGCTCTGCGGATGGCAATTGCACATATCATGGGTTAACACATTGCAGATCTTGAAATCGATGAACAAATTCTCCAACTAACCAGCTTTTCAGTAAAATGTCTCTTTAGCACCAGTCCATGGCCTTGATCTCATGCTGTTGAGTCGAACGATGTGTACGTCGAATGGCCTTTCGCAGGTCATCTTACGACAGTTGCACTCGGACCGGGATCCATGCTACTTGCTGCCGGACTTGAATCGCATTTGGGAGCGTGCAGAGGCAGCAGAGGCAGCCAAAGCAGCAGAGGCCACCAAAAAAGCAGATGGCCAAAGGAATCTCCAGGAGGACACGGAGTGCTGTGGAATTCACAGAGCTGAACTTTGTTCTTTGAAGGTTAGATGTTCACAGATGACGTCGAGCTACTAGTAACAGGTGCCACGCTAGTAGTAACAAGTGCCTTACTGGTAGTAACAAGAAGCTACTAGGAACAAGTGCCTTACTAGTAATAATAAGAGATGTTCTTTGCTTGGGTCGTTTGACGTCCGATGTTCAGGAACCCATTCCGGAGGAAGTGTGCTTCAGTGCGGAGTCCCTTCGCTCATCAGGCGAGATGAGGATGGCCTCCAACCCAGTAGAGACGGGCTCCAACCTACTAGCAAAAGGAATGTCCACCGTCCACCTCTGAATAATAAACCACACCTCCCCCCTTGATCAAGTGCAGGCCCTAAATAATGTAAAATCAACAAAAATACCAGAAACATCTTGGTTTGACTTTGAATCAAAGGACAATGAAAGGGAACGAAAGCAAAGAAAAGGACATGAAAGGAACGGAAAGGACATGAAAGGAAAGGACAACGGGCCATGGAAGCAGCTGAAAATCAGGGTCCAGAAAACACATATCATTTGCGGCCATTTATCTTGTTTTTGACACAAAATAGTCTTATTCACGGGCCATTGATAAATCAGAAGTCAACATAAGTGCAATGGCCTCCAACCTACAGGTGATGACCTCCAACCTACTAGCGATGGCCTCCAACCTAAGAGCGGTGGCCTCCAACCTACTGGTGATGGCCTCAAACCTAAGAGCAATGGCCTCCAACCTAAGAGCGATGGCCTCCGATGAAATTTGTTTTGGTAGACCATGGTAGACACAAAAGACTTGAACGAGCAATCACACAAAGATATCTTTGGTGCTCCCTTGCCCCAGGCGTGGTGCGTTCGTGTGGCGAGGATTTGCTTCAGCAGCTGCAAGAGAGGTGGCAACAGATGGATATTAGCACCTCCAACGTACATGCTGATCTTCAGACCTTCTGCCGCTTTCCTTAGGGATTAAAAGACAAAGATCTTCCGAAACATCGAGCAATGCACCGTACGGTACCTGCGGCGTGGCACACGTCGCAGGGGTGTTTGTGCTCCAAAACCTTCCGAAAGGCACTGACGTTCTTGGCCCTTCGTCGTTCGGTTTGGATCGGAATCATCGCCCGGGACCCGGGTGCTCTGGGGGCATTTGGACAGTCATCCAGTGTGCAGTGTTGTGTCATCCAAGGCAGTGCTTGGCGCGAGGAGAAACTCATGGAGAAGCCTGATGTGGAGGACGGCCCATGGGCTTTTTCATGGGGCTTTTCAAATGCCCCTCGTTTTGGTGGTTCCATCCATCTCACCTTTTCTTGACCCTTCTTCTTGACTCCGCATCCACCCTGCCACCCCCACCCTGCCCCCGCCAGGATGCGCTCTTGCGTCGCTTGGTCCATGAACTCACCGAGGTCGTCTACAAGGTCCGAATCGGGGGGTGACCCAACGGCCGACGGGCGGCAGTGAACCCAAACTGCTTCGGGTCGTGAAGCCTGAACCAGCGAAGACCACGGAAGAGTCAAGCACGGAACGCAACGCGCCATGACCAGGTGGGAGCAGGAAAAGGAAAGACGAAGATGACGACGCTGTTGCCAGAGATTGATGAGCCTGGTTTGCACTGGACAGCAGACAGTTTGTTGCTACTTTAGTCTAAAGAACTCTGGCGCTTCTCTGTGTCTCAAACAACGGGAGAACCCGCCACGATGTAAGCGTCGAAGGGGAACGACCGAACTGTGTCGAAGGGGAACACTTCCATGACTTGGACAGCCACTTCTCAGGAAGTCTGGCATCTCCGGCTCGCAGTAGCTGAAGAGGATGCAGTTTGGGATGACTCCAATGTGGCGGAGGCGGCGGCCGAACACGGCAGCAACGGAAGAGAAAACACACCGGCCCCAAAGAGCTCTACTCCGGTTGGGTGACTAGTGGCGCCCAAAATCCCACGCTTGCAGAGTATTATGCAGCATAACAAAATCCATGAAAATCCCTGTATCCACTGTGAGAACAGTTTTGGGAACCCTCTGGTTGGCCTGTCAGGATGGAGTGCTCCAATTAGAAGAACATGGAGATCTACATGACGTCGTGATTCAAAGCGATCCAGTGGTCGAGAAGTTAGTTCCTGCAAGCTTGCCAGAACTGGAGGGCGTCGGCGTCGACGAAGAGGAGTTTGTGCTGGTGAAGGCAGAGCCATTGGACCAACCTCAATTGGAAGGCATCGACGAAAATGAACTTTTTCAAGAAAAGACACAGCCAATCAACCAGCCTGAATTGGAAGGCATTGACAAAGATGAGCTTGTACATTTTATACCAGGCAAGACAGAGCCATTTAACCAAGCTGAAGTGGAAGGCACTGAAGAAGATGAGCTCGTACCGGTTAAGACAGAGCCGTCTAACCAACCTGAACTGGAAGGCATTGAAGAAGATGAGCTTGTGCCAGTTGAGACAGAACCATCCAAACAACCTTTGTTGGAGTATGTGGTTGAAGAGAAAGAGCCAATACTTGAGAAAGTGTTCTTTCGTAGAATGGACGACCAGGAAGGAATTATACGGGAGGAGGAGACAGTGGACTTCGCATTGTCTCCAAATCTAGATGGCTCTGGGAAGCAGCAAACCAATCCAGCAGAAACTTTGGATGCGTCTCTTCAACGCCTCGTGCTTGTTGAAGAGCTTGTCGATGTCTTCACCTCCCACCAGTGGGACCCCAAGGACTCGGAGATGCAACTTGCAAGGCTCAGAACAAACTGGCAGGAAAAGAGGAGAACGATGACGGAAGCAGAGGCCACCAGCTGCGTAGTGGAAGCATCTATGAAAGCCAGGCTCGGTTTTGGGCCGGCTCAAAACCATCCAATACTGACTTTCTGATGACTCCTACATTGCGAATTGTTTCATGTTTCAAATAATAATCAATTCGCAGCCAGACTGAGTCGGTCTGCAAAAGTCAGCATTCCCTTCCGCATGTTCCAAGCACATGAAATCTTGGGACATGGGGGCGAAATCATCATGTTGTTTTTCTTTTCCCGGTGGACCTCACTATGCCATATTGTGCTAGGAATCGACCAACGGCAACGATATCGAACAGCTGCTGGACGCAAGATGCTCAGCTCCTCTCATCCGGCGAAGAATTTCTACGGACTCTACTCCAGGCAGAAGACCTTCACCAGGCGCAGAAGCGGTCGGACATTTTGACAGGCGTTTGGACAAGAGCACGACCGGAGTCTGCCGACAAGAGTCCGGAGTCTTCAAGAGGCGCTCAAGATGTTCCATGGATTCACCATGAGTGATCCATGTGTCATATGTCTTGCACCCGAAAAAGCATGAACACTTCGCACGATTTGAGCATTCCAGGTGGTGCAGCTTTGCCACTCCTGGTGCACGCCACCGAGTGGAGAGGAAGCATGCTCTGCTTTGCATCGTCCGATGGCCATGGAAGCTCAGCACATTTGGCTGGCGAAGGCGCAATACGGATTGTTCAGGGCCAGCGAAAATAGCCGACGATGACACTCTTAGTTGTTGAAAGGAGTTGTGTCACGATATGAGATTCACAAGCTTGATGTTCAATGATGTTTTGTAGTAATATACTATATATATACACACGAGATATTCGACAGATGAATAGTGGACATATGCGGATCCATCTGCAGATGCGAAGATCTTGCATTTCAGCCTGATGGGTTGTGCACTGCGAGGAGCTTCTCTACCTGGGCAATGCAGAGGTCGAAGCAGCCATCCGAACTATTTGGAAGGACCTAGTCGAAGAATCGGAATCGGAGTCCAAGTATCTCTCCAATCTCCAGGCAGATAGAGGAGATGTCTTTGCATCAAGCATGCAAGAGTGGAATGACTTGAGCAAGGTTTTGATGGATGAAAGCGAAAGCGATGATTTGCGCTTGGAGATGCAAGGGGGATCTGAGGATTTGTTTCTTGAAGACGCAGAGGGGCAAAGCAGTGAATGGCTAAAGGCAAGCCAAGATAGCCAAGCAAGCTATGCCTCAATTGTTTGCTCAGACATGGAGTTGGGCAAGTGGAAAGCAGCTGCCGCTGCTTATAGTTCCCTGGTTGAGGAAGTCTTGGAGATTTGTGATGATCGGCCTGATATGAGCGTCCAAGCCGTCAGCCTTGTCGAGGGCTGGCAGCGCAAGCAAGCGGAAAATCCAGAGGTGGCAGGAACAGAAGCGCTTCTCATGGAGATGGCTGACACGACTCAAAACTTGATCAAGTCACGAGCGAAGAAGTTCACCAAATCTTCTCTCAAATGTCTCTTCGAGCAAGCCTGGGAACAGAAGATTGAAGAATCAACCAAAGAAAGAACTCCTTGGACCAACTGCGAGATCTTGTATCGAAGGTGCGGCCCCCTATCACACCTCATTATTGATTAACAGTCGTAAACTACATGTAATGTTTCTACAAGATACTCCTTTGTGTTCACCTGGCCCATGTTCCTTTTGATATGTAGACATAGTCTTTATATGTGTTTCATGGTGTTTCGATAAATTCGACCTATATAAGTGTTGTTTTGGCAACCTTTGGATATACATCTTCACACACGAATCACTGCCATCACTGCCACACCGTGACCGCCACCTCCAGGGGCGAGCAGCTGTTGCAACACTTCGCCGAGATCGTGAAGGCTTCGCGGCGGCAGAAGATGAAGGGCGGTCATGTGAAGCGAGAGCTGGCGAAGGTCGCCGACCATTGGTGCCACAGGCGCATGGGTGCGCGGGTGCGGGGTGGGAGTACTGCAGAGGCAGAGATGTGGGTTTTTACGCGAAGAGAGACGGGCAAGAAGACGTTGGCTTGAGAAGAAGACGTTTGATGCTGCAGTTCCGGAACTGAACGAACAGGCTCGAACGCTCGAAAAGGGGTCAAATCGAACGCTTTGATGGGTCAAATCTCGCACCGAGAGGCTCAAAACTCGAGCGGTTCAAATCCTGATCAAAACAAGGGTGGGTGGTGTTTCTGTTTCAGAAAACAAGGTGGTAGCCCAAATTCAGTCGACGGATAGCCAAGAATCCTGACAGGTTCCATCCTCACGTCCATACACCGCAGCCACGGACGTTCCACAGGACTCTGGCGGCAGCTGTTGGGGCCGATGTGGTCTCGTACAAGCTGCTGAGAGATATGGCATTGGAAGCCCAACGTATTTTCCTGGCCAAGGCCACGTCACTCGAGTCGATGTGGAAGTTCCATGAATGACAAGTGCTGAGCAAGAAATCGAATTCTTTTCAAGTATATATAGTATATATATATATATATATTGTTTTCCATAGTTTCTCTACTAGACATGTTTGCCTTATTTCTCACTGTGGATATTTACTGATAAAGATTATCATTTCAGATTCTCATTGAGCCTCCTCTTCTCGCTCCTTTTTCTCGCCTTTCTGATGGACCCGAACGGACCCGAACGGACGTTCCTCGTTGCCCGACGTTCCTCACGACGACGTCGAGGCCAAGGAGACCGCGAAGAGCGACGGCTTCACGGCGGCCACGTTCTTGCGAACGGCGTTGCCCAAGACGCGCGAGGAGCGCGGCGATTGGCGGATGGGATCGGGGTGTAGATGGACGTAGATGGGACGAAGATGACGGCTGAGCATGATCAGACTGAGCAAAGCTTCAGCTGCAGCTGTTGGGGCGAAGGTTTGGCGTGACCACACTTTTCTGAGACCCTTATGAACATTTTGAGACACGACTGAGAGACGTGTTGGACGTACTTTTCTTGTTTTGCCAGTTCCAAGAAAGCCCGGTGGAGATGACTCCTGCACAGGCTTGGAGAGCCTTGCTGGTGGATATTCAGGGAAACATTGCCGATGACTCCTGGAAGCAGTGGCTGGACTCCTGGGAAACACCCAGCCTCTAGGCCGCAGGCCTTCGGTGGTGGAACAGGCCTTCAAAAGGCCAGACCTGAAGTGCCGGTGTGCTGTGCCGCGCTGGAGTTCTTAGGATGCTTACCATTGCTAGTAGGTTGGAGGATGTTGGAGGCTTCTTAGGATGCTTACTCATTGCTTCTTCATTTGCGCTGAGGTGAAGTGAAATCCAGAGAGAATGTGGAACGATGGAAGAAATCGGTGAACAAAATCAAAGGCATTGGTGCATTGCTGGGAAAGGCCCGGATTGATGCTTCCAACCCTGCAAGCCTTTACCACATTTGGATCGGATCATGTCATGTCAGAGCAGTCCAGTGCTTGATGTGATCTCCATTCTTTCCATGAGGAATTAGAACCCGTGTTTTGAGGTGAATAGGTATAAACACGACTCTGAAATACTTAAACAGCTCGGCAACTTCAGGGAGTCAGATGGATATCTTGCGTTGCATTTCTATGCATATCTCAAGTCCGAATGTTCATCTTGCCAGGATCGAAGACCTTCGCAAGTCTTTCAAGCCTTGGGAAACTTGCGCTCGGAGAACCCCGAAGCATCTGAGAGCTTGCGACCCTCGGGGAGCTTGCGACCCCCGTCACTTCGCCACGGAAGCATGGCCGTGGGATGCCGTAGGTCAAAACCTCGCCCAAGAAAACCATGGGAGTTTGACTACATCCCATATAGGTCAAACCCCATGTTCATTTTCCTACATCCCTTATAGGTCAACCCCCCATGTCATCCCTTATAGGAGTTTGACTACATCCCTTATATAGGACTCTGTTCATCACGGGTCAAACCAGGTGTTTGGGGTTTTGACCCACGGCTGACAGTCTCATCCCCTGCTCCTGTGGTGCGGAAGAACCGAGGTCCAATAGTCCTGCACGTGCCTTTCAGGCGGGGAGATGATATGTCTTGGAAGGCATTGCACTAGGATCAGGAATCAGGATGAGAAGAAACTCCTTCAAGACTCATCACACTTTTGCCTGCCAATTGCGGCTTTGACAGTGTATGCGATGTGAGGCTTTCATGCCACAAGGCTCTGGAGAGGCCTGTCAGATGTTAAGCTACGCATAGCAAGTGACAATTCAAAAAAGCAGCCTGTGAATCCAGTGACGCTGAATGATCAGCACGATTCCTGACATGAACCTTCAACTGGGAAAGTGTACGGTGACCGCTTTTTGGGCCTCTTTTCGCTCTCAGATGTGACCAATTCTGTGGTGAGGCTGGTGCATCACAAGGAGACTCCGGAAACGAGGGAACTGCTTCCAGTGCGGAAGCCAAGACATGTGCAAAGCATTTGTGCTAAGTGACATTGCTTGAGGTTCTGGTTCTGTCAGATTATATATAGTTGTATCATTTATATCATATTATCATTATATCAAATGGAGAATCAACGGAAAAATCTAGCAGGAGGGTGAACCAAGAGTGAACCTGGCATTTCAATCTATATTGACAGACTTGCCACCTTGGCTTTTTTGCTGCCACTCCTTGTCTAGGTTCTTGGACAAGACAGCGAAGACCTTCAGGCGAGCCTTGTGGTGACACGAGATGGAATTTTGAGTGTCTGTGAGTTTGAGATCACTTGTCACCGGCGGATAAAGCATGTCATGATGGAGTGTCCCACTGCCGACTGCGCAGTTGCAGCATCGAGTGTGGCCGAGAACTGGTCGCCCGACTATGCAGGCCCACGGTGAGTAGTGACAGCTGATTGACTAAACAGGTTTCTGCAGCGAAGCTACGCTCGATTGCAAGTTTGAATCTCTCACATGATCTTCATATAGAGAAGGACATGTGACATTTACGAAATGTCTCTGATGGAAGCACACCTCATCTAACCATGTGAAGTTTGTACAGGCAGTGGTGGTCGAAGAGAATCCTCTTTCAAACAAGATCGTCGAGACTCTCAGGTATTAGGCGCGTATAATCGCCTGCCCGGCGCGCGCGCGACAATCTTTTTTAACCGACATGACATGACACATGGCACGCATCCTAAAACGGATTGTTTTCAAAACCTCCTGGTAGAAAAAATGATCAAGAGGTGTCATTTTTCATGGGCAACATACATTTTCGATAGTTATTTGTTTAGAAGCAGGCCCCCCAGCAGGCTATGTACGTTGCTTGCGCAAGGCAGCGCTAGGTTGGCGCTAGGTCATCGCTAGGTTCTCTATGATTGATATGACCACGGTTTGCTGGTAGGTGTGTTTGTGTCTTAAAAGGATTTTTATTATCCTCTTCTCCTTCTTATCCTCCTCTCTTCCTTCACACCCTCCCTCCTCCCAAACGCTTATTCCATCTTATTCCAATTTGCTGGACTTCTTGGTTCTTGATCCGAAGGTTGATTCTGTAGAGTTTGCTGCCACCCTGCGTGTGTCTATGGCCAAACCAACAGTGCTGGCAGCCTTGTTAGGTGAATTTCGAGATATCTATGCTCGCAGGGAGTCTCAAATGTCTCAAGGATCTGGCCGAGGGCTTAGACTTCAGCAAGTTCTGTCAACTAAGGAATGCGCAAGGCAATGCAAGGCATATATAGAGCTTTAGCAAATGTTTTTTTTTTTGTATTTTGAAGATGTTCCAATTTTAGATCTTTCGTGGTCCACTCTTGAAGACGAGTCACAGTCTTAGTATGTTTTAGTCTTGAATCGTTTTGTTCGCCGAGAAGCGTTTTCTTACCGGCTGGCTCCGGTTGAGGAGTTGGTAGCATGGGTCTCGGCTCTCTGCCTTTGAGTTCTGCATCGGCTACCTGGACTGCAGAAGGGCCTTGCACTTCGAAGGAGGTGTATAGTATAATGTAGAGTAGAATATAGTAGAATCTATGCATATATCATATATAAAATATACACATTGCTTCCTCCATCATACCCATGTTTCCTTGAAAACTACGGCATTGGCAGTGTTTTGTGTGTTCTAGATGGTACTGCCCTTCAACACCCCCCTGGGGTTTGCAATGCATGACACCAGTGCATGGACTGGTTTCGCTCTTCAACCAGCAAGGTCAGATCGAAAGGAGGCACCGGAAGTGAGGGGACTGCTTCAGGCGCCGAAGCCAAAAGAGAATGCAGAGCATGCAATGTAGACTCTTGATGTATAACCCCTCCATCTGGATTATAAAACCTATAAAACCTCTTCATGTGGATTTATTAATCCTTAGTCTACCATCCATGCATCGATGTGCTGCAAGTTCAGTGAGACTTTGTCAGATTCAGACAGACTTAGATTTAATCTATCAAACAAGAGTGGACAAAGGGAAGCAGGACAGTGAAGAATCTTGAATGGCTTGCCAACGCATTGCCTATGCCAACATGCTTTCCTGTCTCTATGTTGTCTCAACTATTGAGGTTCTTGGACAAGACAGCGAAGACCTTCAGGCGAGCCTTGTGGTGACACGAGATGGAATTTTGAGTGTCTGTGAGTTTGAGATCAGTTGTCACCGGCGGATAAAGCATGTCATGATGGAGTGTCCCACTGCCGACTGCGCAGTTGCAGCATCGAGTGTGGCCGAGAACTGGTCGCCCGACTATGCAGGCCCACGGTCAGTAGTGACAGCTGATTGACTAAACGGGTTTCTGTAGCGAAGCTACAAGCCGTCACGGTTTGCTTCCCTGTCAAGTGTTTTGAGCCTCAACTGTAAGTTGTCACCAAAGTGAAGGACATACGCATCATGCGGCACACACACACAAGGTCCATCAAGGGCTAGTTGAATCTCTCACACGATCTTCATATAGAGAAGGACATGTGACATTTATGAAACGTCTCTGATGGAAGCACACCTCATCAAACCATGTGAAGTTTTTACAGGCAGTGGTGGTCGAAGAGAATCCTCTTTCAAACAAGATCGTCGAGACTCTCAGGTATTAGGCGCGCGCGCACGACATGACATGACGCATGGCACGCATCCTAAAACGGATTGTTTTCAAAACCTCCTGGTAGAAAAAATGATCAAGAAGTGTCTCCTCTTCTCCTTCTTGTCCTCCTCTCTTCCTTCACACCCTCCCACCTTCCAAACGCTTATTCCATCTTATTCCAATTTGCTGGACTTCTTGGTTCTTGATCCGAAGGTTGATTCTGTAGAGTTTGCTGCCACCCTGCGTGTGTCTATGGCCAAACCAACAGTGCTGGCAGCCTTGTTAGGTGAATTTCGAGATATCTATGCTCGCAGGGAGTCTCAAATGTCTCAAGGATCTGGCCGAGGGCTTAGACTTCAGCAAGTTCTGTCAACTAAGGAATGCGCAAGGCAATGCAAGGCATATATAGAACTTTAGCAAATGTTTTTTTTTTTTTTGTATTTTGAAGATGTTCCAATTTTAGATCTTTCGTGGTCCACTCTTGAAGACGAGTCACAGTCTTAGTATGTTTTTAGTCTTGAATCGTTTTGTTTGCCGAGAAGCGTTTCCTTACCGGTTGGCTCCGGTTGAGGAGTTGGTAGCATGGGTCTCGGCTCTCTGCCTTTGAGTTCTGCATCGGCCACCTGGACTGCAGAAGGGCCAGAAGGAGGTGTATCAACCTTGGAACTGGTTGACATAATTACGTTTGATATACTATGGCTATATGCAAGACACACATACACACATATAAACACAATAGTAGACACAATATACTAAGCGGTCGGCGCACATTTAAGTATGATTTCGTTGGCACCTCCCCTTCTGGGAGCACACCAGGCCGGTTATCCCCATTGCTCGGAACCATCCAGGGTATGGACATGCAAAGTATGAGGATTGGACCACATTGGACCCAATATATGCCTTGAATCGGCCCCCACATTCCTATCACACATGTTTTGCCTGCAAAAACCCTGTGCTGTTTTGAGATTTTGGACCCAATATGTGCATTCCCATCGGCTCATCTCATCAAAAATGACCGACCCAAACGACCGACCGACAGGCCGCGTACCTGGCCGTCCCCGGGCCGCGCAAGAGCCAGCGGAGTCCGTCGGGCGTGTTCTCCGCGTCGGGATCGGAGTTCAGCTCCTCGGCTGCGTCGGAAAACGGAGGGGCGAAACGGAGTTCAGCCCGACGCGACGAGCATGATGGATGATATGGATGTGCCGCATTTTGGAAAACAACTGTGCTGTGAACACTCAAGAACTGATCCAACTGATTATACTTCATAATTTGTCATTTTTTGGGCCGATTAATTTTCCATCTCGTTCTGGAGCTTTGGGATCGAATTGCCAAGAGCAAATGCTTTGTACGATTTTGTACGGACGTAGATAGAATTCGGAGACTTCTCATGTTTGTTGCTTTTGTAGGATTGTCTATCCCGGATGCTTAACGACATTGTGATACCCCTTACGACCGTTGACGATCTTGCGACCTCCGGACCTCCCTCACGCATGGTCTCTGACCGATCCGAGTTCGTCCTTGCAGGCTTCACTTCCAGTGCCAGTCCCAAGAGGTCGAACCGCCGGGATTTGTCACAACACCTACTGTACCGAGAGCGTCATCCGGGGGGGTCATCCGCCCCCGCGTTTCACCGGTTCCCGGTGGGTCTGGAGAACGACCCCATCAAGAGCGAACGTCGATTTGTGGTGAGTGCTAGTGCTGTTCTGGACAGTGCCGGGAGATTTGGAGTGCAGATCTGTCCAGAACTTTTCAAACATCGGTTCCTAAAGTACAGACCGATTGTAGCGTAGCAGACCACTGGTTCCGCCAGGATGGCTGGCGAGTTTGAGCGCTTGATCCCCAAAGGAACTCCCAGCAAGGCCAGGAGCTGAGTGAACTTAAAACGTCCATCAACTCTTCAAGTCATTCAGCTCATATCTTCGCACATCTTCCAATCGTATCTTTGCAGCAAAGTGGACACGGTAAGCAGAAGAACACATTGATTTCAACCCTTTTGTTTCACCGTCGCATGTGTCCTTTAGGACTCGCCTTCACCCTATACAAGCCCCTTCACGTCGCAGCAATCCAGTCCTAGACGTAGCGTTCTTTGGCTGCAAATAGGTGTCGTTGAGGAAAAACAACTGACATTTGTGACGGCCATGAGCCAAATGATGTCAACATGATGTCAACATGATAATTTGTTTTGACTTTTTTTGTGTGAAGTGGTTTGGCAATAGTGATAAGCAAGCTATGTTTTGTGTGTTTGTGTAGCTGGCTACCAGCATCAAGTATGTGATATTTGTTGAAAACTGATGAAGAGTTCTGGCAGCAGCTACAAGCATCGAAGGAATCATAATGATTATATATTATATATAAATTATGAAGCATGTATTGTATTATATCCTTTTCGCTTGAGGCTGCAACCTCCAGTGACAAAGAATTTGGGCCAGCAATTGAGAAGCACAAAAATGCCCATCTGGAGCATCTTCGCTGTCTTTTTTGATCTTTTTTGAGTCGCGCTTTCTCCCTGCCCTAGAGTTGCTCAGGATCGTTCTGCTGCGTCCTCCACCTCAAGACGAGGACCGGAGAGACGTTGTTCATGCCAAAAGCCACCGCTGAACCGCCTGAACCGCCTTCCGCATCAATGGTTTGCTGTCAGGATCGCGGAGAAAGTCCACATTGAAGCGGGCTGGCAGCAACTTGCTGAAGGACGGCGAAAGATGTATATATCAATCATATAGAAGAAGTGCACCGTATGTATTATACATATAGAAGATATGTCAACTTTATATTAATACAGGAATGCGTATCATATGCGTATAGACGATCAGACCTATCATGGACAAGCCGAGTACAACTTTCAGTTTCTTGTTGACTGCAAAGCTGCGGGTGATTCAAAGCAGGACTCAATCTGGACAAAGTAACAAACTGGACTAACGGAGATGTCCACCGACCATGATTTGAGCCTTTTGCTTTTGACTTTGAATAACAAGTGTGTCATGTTTCAGCATGTCAAGTAGCCAAGTTGCCAAGCGTAGTGGTCACCGCAGCCCTGGGCGGCGAGAGGACGACAAATAACACAAGCTGAGAGAGTTTCCTAGCAATGCTTGGCATGTCATCCTTTGAATAACAGCAACACACTAACAAAGTGTTTACTCACAGAATCCCCAAAAGGGTAGTACTAGGCATTGTCACTTTGTTTCGCAATCATAGCCAATGATACCATCCTCTAATTCGCTTTTTACGGCGCAGTGGCGCACTGCGAAGCAGCGTGTGGCGCCCCGGCGATGCTTGCACAATTCACCCGATCGACGGACGTCGATCTGCACGAGTCGCGTCACCCGGAGCAACGGTGACGTGAAGCTGTATAGACAGGGTGGCTTGAAATAGGGAGGCCCCCAGGCAGATTCTAAAACGAAGCAATCCAAACATATCCAAACTGGTTGTGATGTCTTCCCATCTCATCCCATCTCAACGCACCCTAAATTAATCAGCTTTCTGTTGGGCATGTTGTGACAACTGCCCCATTCTCGCATGCATCAAATCCAGTGAAGTCGTGCCGTTCCTCAAACGAGTCGATCTGGCATCTCTTGTGGCATTTTGAAGGGATGAAGGAAAAAACATGTGGAGGGTGTGAGAGGATGCAGCATTGCATCAGGGGGAGGGTGGGGATTGGAGATATTTGACATAGTTGTCCCAGCTTCCGGGAAAGCTCAAGAAGAGTGGACCATCCTAAGTCACATCGATCATAGTGCGCAACACGTACAGTACAGGAATGTACAGGATGTACAATAGTATCAATCAAGAGTAATTATAGTACAATATAGTACGGTCATAGTATAGTACACATCAATATCATCCATCAAGCCCAAACTCCTGATGGACCCCACATGACCCCACAAGTGCCCAGGCTCTACTTCGATCGGCCAAAGCTGAGATGCCGAGTCGGAGGTGTCGCCGTCGGGTTTTTAACGGCGACGGTTCGAGGTCCGGATCGGATTGGACGACATGGCTTGGTTTGGGGTCCGGGTCCTCATGTTTTGTATGGTTTTGGTGCGTCCTTCGGAATCCTTTTTTGGGCTTGGTCAGGAGAACCAGAGATGTGGAAGGAACCAAGCAAGGAGCGACAAAGTCGAGCGAATTTGCCGCAAGATTGCAGTGGTGCCACTTGTGTGTGCATTTTTGTCCATTCTTGACACAAGGCTCTTGCCTTTTCAGCATTCTCAGCTCAGTTTGCTTTGGGAAGTTGTCCAGGAGGAGCTTGCAGCTGCAGCTGCGGAAATGGACGAGATGGTCCCAGCCTGAGTGTTTTGAGAGCCTGGTGGCTAGCTTTGGCCTGTGCAAGCTTTGAAGTCCTCCTGATCACCGTTGTCATGCCACTCCCTGCGGATGGCACAGTGTGATACATATGCTATGCGTGAGACGTGATTGAGTAATATCATGAATCCTGGATAATATGAACGGTCTGTGGATGGCAGAGTTTGTAGCTTCTCTTTGTTGGCCCGTGGTCTATTCTATTCATGTTCACTTCAACCGAGGCACCTTTCAGGAACACTGTGGGATTCCTGGGGCTCCTGCTTCTTGGGAAGGCCATGTTTCGGTCCACACCGTGTTGGACGCCACACACGGGCCACACGCTCGCTGCGCACACACCGCTCGGACTGCCACAGGCGCTGCCGGACGCCGTCTTTGCCGTGCTGCGGAACTGGGCGGGCATCCGTGGTGCCGAGCAGCTCGGGCGAGAAGAAGCGGCGGTTGGTGGGCAGTTGGAGCAGGATGTTGCGTGCCTGGAAGCAGGTTGAACACTAAGAGGAAAAGGTTCTTGATAGGGACGTTGTTGGAGAATTGCCCAGGAAGTTGGACTATGCCATGCTGGGCGCAGATGTATCTTACCTGCAATGAAGCTCTATATACATTCTATCCAGTTTATTCATATCGTATCGTATCGTATCGTATGTGTTACCTTGGCAAGACGAAGTCAGTCGTTCTCTTCGATTGAATTGGACCTGAGGCCCTCTTCTCCGCTGTAGGCAGGATCAGCTCTCCGTGGCCATTGCCATGTCGGCACAGCATGACACGGAGACTTCTTCAGATATAATGCCATCATATGCAAACCTTAGTTTGCTGAGAAAACCTGTCAGGTCAGGCGATTCTGTTCCCACTAGCCAGTCAGACGTTGAATAGATTGGGCCACCTGTCCTATGACACCGGGCTCAAGGAGTCTTCGGGATTGAATGATCGATAGGCATTGGCCTGCTCTACACTGCCATCGTGCTGATGGCTCCTGGTGTCCCTGACATCCCGCAAGTGACAAAAGACTTTCAAGAGCGGTAGGACATTTGAGCTCATTCTGTCTAAACCATTCAAAAACCGCATGAAGGGCATGAAGTGTATATACTAACTTCCGCTGAACTGGAAGCATTTGAAGTGCCTTTGATGGCCAAGATGAAAGCCTGGTGCTGGCTGCCACTGGCGTTGCATCGACTCACCCACTGGCGTTGTGAAAGAGGAACGTTGGCGTCGCATGCCGAGCAGTGCCAGCCCATGGGCTGGCACGGCACGCCTTCGCATCGACGTCACAGCCGCAGAATCGATGTCGACGTCACTTTCTTTTGCGGCTCATCTTGCCAATATCTCGTTGGACATGACTCAATGAACAGAGGCGATGAGGTGATGCTCATCACAGAGCCACAGAGCCACAGAGCTGCGAAACCGTTGAGTGAGATTGCTGCTCCGCAGGATTTTGGTTCGAAGGTCTTGCGAAAGTGGGGCCATCATGGTGGGAAGGGCGGTCCCTTGGGAAACGCCGGTTTCTCGTGATGGGCCTCATGGGCCTCTGGAAATTGGCACAACTTGGCAGGTTGTGTCAAATTCAACACTTGCGACGAAGGCTTGTTCGGTGATGAAGAAGCCGCCAAAGGACCGGCGGAAGGGTGAGAGCTCTACTTGGCCCCTCAAAGAGGTTACCAAGTGTGGGGCTCTTCGTCACAGAAACGAAGCAGAAGGAATTCCACTGGGGGTTCCAGAAACGAAGCACCGCCCTCCAGGATTTGCGCAAGTGGTTGGGGCAGCTGGTCACAGTTGTGGAGAAGAACTCTCATGGACAGGTCAGGTGCAAGCTGAAGTCCGACCTCGACCGAAAGGACGCGATTTGGCTCGTGCCGGGTGCTTTGACGGCCACCATCACGACCGAGAAGGACGGCCGTTCAAGGGCTTGACCAGGGCACATGTGCTGCATGACCTGATAGGGTGAAGATGTATTAAGATGTATTAAGTAATATTAAATATATGGATGTATATGGGATATCTTAATTATCCTCACGGGGTTGAGGGGTGTCCTTCTAAGAGAACCTATAGTATTATACAGTAAGTGGAGTTGCAACCCTGTCTGTGCGGATCTATTTTGGCGTGGTGTCAGAATCCCTGTGCGAGCAAGTGGCTTTCGACTGCAGTATGCGTGTCCGTATTGTTGCATGATAGGCAACTCCACCTAGAATATGCACAGGAGCTAGTCCGTGCGATCTTGGGTGGCATCTACAACTCGGTTGCGCAGCGCTCTGAGAAAATGACACAGGTGGAGCTCCATGTCCTTTGCAAGGAAGGCTCAGAAGTCTCAGGTTTCTTGGCAGCGGAATCAACGATCACAGGGAAGCATTGCAGAGAGTGTTTGGTTTGTGATTGTCCACCTTGTGGATGAGACAAGAAAAGGGATGGTTTGAGCAAGATGGGATCAGTGAGCAAGATGGGACGGACTTCCTCCCTCACCACCCTTTTCGGTCCCTCGCCAGGTTCAAAGCTCCAGTGCGTGCATGGAGATGAGGTGATGCAGCTTCGAGCAACGTCGGAGGGACATTTTCATGGGCTCTTAGAGGTGCACACTGAATCGAAGGAGATTCCTTTGAATCTTGGAGGGGAGTTGGAGTGTTTGCGATGAACAGGGCTGCAATGTGGACTATATTCCTTGGTGACATTCGCTGGCCAGCGGGTCAGGTGCAAGATGCCTTTGATTCGGGACGTGCGACGAGAACTGTTGTGCCTGAGTCATGTCATTGCGCCATGTAGCACAAGACTGCAAAGTCATTGGGCCAGCTCTGGCCCTCACCGTTTTTCCAGGAGGGACCTTGTTTATCCTTACTTTTTTATACTTGCTTTTTTGATAATCTTTTACACGGAGATGTTTTCATGTGTTCCGAATATTATGTCAGTGGAGCTCTTTTGAAGCACTTTGGTGATCGATGCCTTGGCCACTAAAGCGCTTGGCCACTTGAGTTTCTTGGAACTGTTTCTACTGAACGCATGAAGCTGGGAAATGAAGCCAAGGGTCCAAGGGTTCGGGTGTGGTGTAGTTTTGCTGATTGTGGGCTGAAAAGTTCCAAATAGCACAGATGAGTCCAGGCCCGCAATGAACTTTTACATACTTTTACTAACATGGCTAACTGGACGTAAAACTTCGATACAAGGTACCCTTGGACAAGTCCTCTATGAGGATGGCCACCTTCGAGGTTTTATGCACAAAGAAGGAGTTGTGTTTGGCAAGTGCCGGGCGCCCTACTTTCTGGGTTCCTCAGGAAGTTCGTCTTGCACAACGAGTCTAAGATGGACATGCTCTTGAGCTTCGTTGGAGCCAACGCAGAGAGCAAGCAGAAGGAGTTGCGACTCCCCTGGCCGCTCGGTGAGGTCTCCAGTGGAAGACAGCCATTTCTGCAAAAGCCGGAACAGGTCAAACCTTCAGGGGGACCAACATGAAAATGAGTCTTAGAGTCTTAGAGTCTAGTCTCTAAAATGAAAGTGCAGAGTCTTAGAGTTTAGGCTTAGCATTTTTGTAAATGTCCGTTCCTCGTGGTCACGTGTTGATCAGCTCTTTCAAGGGATTTTAGATTTTGATGATTTTTGATATTCCCAAATGCTTTGATAGAACACGTTGCACCATCACTTGCTTGGACGAGCTGCTTTGCTGCTGCTAAGAGCCTCCGATTGGCCAGGAAGTCGGGTTCCAAGCACACGTTTTGCGAGTTGGCCTTCAAGAAGAAGGAGATCACCTCGAAGGTGAAGCACACTCGCACTAGGGAGGGGTACGTTGCCGAACCTCGGGCGGCCGAACAGGACGGCGAGGAAGGATGAACGGCGGTTCAGCAGGCACCGGAGCCTGTATAAAAACCAGAATAGTTGAATGGTTGACCTGGTTTTGTACTGTAGTGTCAAATCCTTGGTAAAGAAACATGGCAAAACAACGGTTCTACGTCACTTTCTTGGGTAACGACCATGAAATCAATGGTTGGGACCAAATCGAACAGAGCCAGGACTCAGAACGGGATGTGTCGCAGTCCAAGTCGGTGCATCGGATGTTTTGTGACCCCCAGCCCCCTCAAGCTTTGCTATTAGGGGGGGTCACAAAAGTCCCATTCGACCTTTATTGGGGACGGGGGCTCCATGACGAGAGGTCAAGACGAGGGTTCTCTTTATGAGAGGCCCCAAAGACGTCTTCATGAGGAGGGATGCCCAAGACAGTCTTTTTATGAGAATCCTTGGGAATGCAGTGGTTTTTAGTTTTGTCAATTATTGGAGTTATGAGCCCCCACGCATGGAAGTTCAACCATGTCTGAGGTACCATAAACTAGACGAAAACATGTCCCCAAAACCAGCCGGGGTTCGGTCTCTGCGAAACCATTCATTGGACCTTTCTGCAAAGCCGAAATCGCATCGGTGAATTCAGTGAGCCGAAGCGAAGCGACGAAACCCACATTTGGCTCCACTGTCAATCGCAACAGCACCTGGGCAATGGCCATCACGAAGTGGATAGATCGAGCATCATAGAGCCAGACGGGCCCTTGGTTTATCATGGTTTATGGCAGGCAGATGAATGCATCCTTAGAACATATTGGAAGATGTTTGAAAGATGTTTGCTTTCGACCACCCCGGTATCAGCACGGCAGACATGGCTTTCTCAAGCATGTAAGGACTTGTCAGAAGTTGGTAAGGTTTGGGCAAATCAGTGAGTTTGTTTTCAACAAGCGAGAGAGTCACAAGGGTATGCCGTCATCCCAGAGGGGTAGAAACAAGGCAATACTTTACACCGGCCATCAGATCATCTATCAAATGCATTCTGCCTGCAACACGCCGAGTTGGTCCATTCTCTCCAGAAGTAGCGACAGCTGTTTTTTCCTGTGTCTCTGCGTTCGCCAATCTGAGGCAGAGTTCTGGGGCGAATTCCTTTGCGCTTTTCATCGAGACATCGCCCAGTGCGACTCTGCAGGACACTGCGAGAGACAGACTGTGTCCCGTTGTCCGGAAAAGTGGGTGAGGAAAAAGTGGGAGGAAAGGAAAAGGACATGACAGAATGGTAGACCCTTCAGGTTTAAGATGGTTTGAGATGGTTTGATGATCACTTGTCAATGACTGATCGGAAGGGCAATTCAGGCGGAATATGTCTGAATCAGAGACAGCATGTGGAGCTCTAATGGCCCCATGTTGAGTTCACCATGTTTCACAGAAGAGGTTGTTATTGGTTAAGCAGGAGCTGGGAAGCCAGCTACATTGCTATTCCTGCCTCACTGGCATTTGATGTTTTTGTATATACTCCTGACTCATGGGTTATATATTTGATACATTCTTGATAAATCTTTAAACACTAATCAACTCTTGGGTTTAATGACTTGTACCAGAGCAAGTGAACCTTCACCAAAACCGCGTCAAGTTCCCGGCTTTGAGAGTCTGGTTTGTCGCGGTCGTCAGACGACCGGACAGTGTCCGGATGGGATGCCTAACTGGTCGTCCAAACCGTTGAACCAGACCAGGAACCCTGCCTTCCCAATGGGAGGCGAGGCGAACAACAGTTGGACAGTTGCTACAAACTGACCAACTCGCGACAGGACTGCCTGAGGCGAGCGGCACAGAGAAACTCTTCGCAGCGTTGGAAGCGCTTTCTGCTCTCACGTGTGAGCTACACAACCCACCCGAGTTGGGTGCATACCTGAATCTGTTCCTGGGCCTATGCGACTGTTGCACGGTGGTCAGAGACTCAATGAACGGTGGCTTTAGTCTTGTAGTACTTTGTTGGGGGTTAGTATGATGACAGTGATGAAAGCATAGATGACTGCAGGTCGTATGATTCATAGGAGACACTGATTAGTAAAACATAACAGGGAGCATCTCATATCAGCATGGACTGCAGGGTCGTTTTTCGGACTGCTGATCCACTGGTCGAACCATGGCCGGGGCAAAACGAGATCCCACCATGTACGTAGCGCTTTCTGGGAACTGACCTGCCTGAAGGGGACTTGATCGGCTTAGGGGGCACAAAGAGGACATGATTTGGACCTTCCAATTGAAGTTTCTTGAAGCGTACTGTAACAGCTAGACACTGAATGGCAAACATGTGTATGTCGCATCTATCCTCTATACTCAAAGCGGTTCGCACGAGTTTCTATGCAGTTCTCCACTGAGATCACACCACAGAGCGCATCGAGGCAGGTACGTTGAATAGGGGTCCTGAAAAAAGATCTTGGTGGTGGTTCTTTTGTGTGTCCTCTCTCTGCCTCTCTCTCTCTCTCTCTTTATGCTTTTGCTGCAACATTCAATGAACGTATGAAGGAACATTGCAGCGAAATACGACCACCCTCACTGACCAACGGGCGAATCCGTGGAAGAGACCGATCTGCCATGGACCCACCCTCATCCCCTGCCGTGCCCGATCCAGCCCATTCAGACGATGGGCTGGAAGCGAGGGACAGGTCCTTAGGTAGCAAAATTCCTTGTAGGAAGGACCTTTCTGTAAGTTCCATCCAGTTCCTCCCTCGTCGCTCTTCAAGAATCCATCACGAGACTTTCGAAGTCTTTCGACGTGAGCCGGAACTAAAGAGGCACATCAGGGAGTTCCGCTTCACGTGGGAAGAGAATCGACAAGAGAAGCTATTCATTTGGGGAAGACCTACGGATCGCCACACCTCCTCCTCTGATCTATTCCCATATCATCCCATCGAGCAAGCCATGGTTTCTTCATTAGGCTTCTACCAGCTGTGTCGTCTTTTACAGAAGGCTCTACTTAATGTGCTGGGTGATTTCCGACTTGGAAATTGGTCAAGTGTTCACTGCTCCAAGGCTGGATCGTCCGATGACACCGGCACAGGGCCTTTTCGCCTGCTACATGCTCGGGCGGCTACTGGGCCCTCCGGGGAAAGGGGAGTTCTTCCCAGGCAGGGAGATGTCCAGTGACGCTTGCTGATAGGCCGATGCTGCTGGGACTGCCTGCTGTTTATACACCAGGAAGCATGTGCTTAGCAGCTAGATTCCATAGATTCCGGCGATAGATTTGAACCTCCAATGAGTGCGAAGCTTTGCAGGTTGCTTGGTGCTGGTCGAGCGGAGGAGTGTGGGAGAACTCCTTTGCCTGAGAATAGTCGTTCCATCACTATTGCTTTCAGCAAGGTTTATTAGTAGAGCTGAAAAGGTGGTGCTGGAGAGCTAAGAACGAAGTGGTGTCAATACTGAGCCTCAAGTTCTGCACTGGCTGGCTCATCAGTGACAACGTGACATCGTCACGTGTGGTGTCGCCAGGGCCGTGTTTCACAGCTGGTGTTCCCGATCTCGGGTCCTGGTAGCATCTGGCACCATGCGAAATCCGTGCGATCGCAGGACTGGCAGCAGCAGCAAGAGGTCTAAAACCATTGAGGTGATCTACGAAGTTGTGGAGGCCCGAGAGTAAGTTTTTTTTTTTTTTTTTTTTCCCGGGGGAATCGTGATGTATGTTTTCTTTTTTCGGCATTGCCTCTAAGTCATCCTAGCATGGTGATCCACGATCACCAAGGTCATCAGCCAGGGGATTTCAGATTCAAGCAGACGACAGAAGGGTGGCAAAAGTATGCAAAAGTACAAAACATGAGCTTTGTAGGGTTGTGAGGGCCACCCATTTAGGAGGGACTCCACCTCTTGCCGCTCAGGAGCGAGGACAGAAGCTCCGAGTCAGACTGCCGGGCACAGACATCGTGGCGACCTGTTTGGAATCGCCGAAGTTCAGACGTGGGACTTGTGAAATGTCGACAGCCCGATTTGAGAAAAACAAAGAAAAACACCTGGCGGTTGAACAAAAGATCTGGAGATCAGAAAATGAAAGAGATGTGAAGATAGATAGGGAATTTCCATGCACTTCCTATTTTTCCATCTTCTGATCTCCACATCTTTTCCTTAATTGGTCGAAACGGACCCAGTCGTTTGGCAACGACCTGATCTCGGTCCGTTCGGTCGGATAACGTCGTTGCATCTGAGGGCGGTGCATGCAAGAGAGACTTTCTCCAAGAGACCATGCGAATGACTCTCGCTAAGGAAGATGCTGATATGAACAAAACCAAGCGATTCTTCAAGATGAAGGACTCCAAGGACTCCAAGGTCCACGTTCTCGATGCCATCGCCACATCCTCCTTGGAGGGGGCAGAGCTTGAGATGCTGCTCAGCGACGACACTTGGCAGGATGAATAGAACTGGAAATGCGACAAATGCTGTTGGCAACACCTGGAATTTTAGGGATCTTGGGCACAAAACCAAGCCAAGAGATGCTTTCTTCTTTGGGGAGTTGTTTGTCAACACAGTTTGTTTACTCGACACAGGGAAGGTGGCCCGGCCACTAAGCTCGACATTGATGCTCCGCTCAGGATTTGCACCTGATGAGGGACGGCCTACACGCTCTGATGAGTCGAGATGCATCACAAGGTGGTGCTCGTTGGATCAGAGCCTTGAGGCAGCGGAGTGCGCAAGCGCATGCACAAGCCCCTGCTTGCGCGTGCTGCCGGCCGTGGATGTGGGGTTCCAAAGAGAGACCATGAAAGAAGGTGGGTTTCTACTTGGATTCCAAGTGTCTGAAGATCAAAGCCACAGTTCAGCAGAGGATTGGAGACACATACGGCTTCATTGATTTTCGAGACCATTTAAATCAGTGAACTTCGAGAGATATTTGGATGATTTAGGACATTTTAGGACGCAGAGGAACGCGGTGCTTGCCTGTAGAGAGGAAGTCCAGTTGTTGCTTGTCCCATAAGCGTCAGGGTTTGGTGCTCGACCGCGCCAGGCGTATAGCAATCTCCCACGCACGGGATGCGGCCAGGTTTTTGGAGAACATGAGCTTTGAACTAGGTGGGGGGCGGTCTCGGGGGTCATGGACAAGAGGTTGGTCTACAGGGGTGCAAGCACTCCAGGATGGAAACATCGTCAGTTATGGTAGTTACTAACCCATGACATGCCTTGTTTGTTTCTTCAAGGACACTCCCAAGAGCTTAGTTAGGAGGAATTTTGTACAGTAGATCTTGTGGTTGATCTTGCAGTTTTGCAGACTTGATTTTGCGGTCTTGACACCATACAACCTGTGGATGGATTCGGTGGCATTTTTTTCTGTTTTTTTCCGGTCTGCAGGGTAGCCATGATCCATGATTCATGCAGAGAGCAGCCTAGCGCATTCGTCCTCTTCTTTTCGCTTTCTTGTGCGATCGCCGTCGAAGCGAATCCGCTGGGTTCGATTGGCGTGTTCTTCACCCCGGCCGACTGGGCGATCGGACCGCACTGATCGAACCTGACACATTCGGCTGTCATGCTAAAGAAGTCGACCAGACACATCACATGTGGGTGCATCGTTTTTTGAGGTGAACGTTTACAGACGACCTTGTTGCGCAAGCAAGGGTCCATGTTCTTTTTTCTCACCTTTGGGCTTTGCTTGGGATTGGAGATTCGCGAAATCTGGCATAGAGACCCACTGGACAAGGTCTTGATTCACCATATTTACCTCTGACTAGCATACCCGAATCGCAGCTTGCAAATGAATTTCTTTTCTGATGAGCCGGTGATTTGACAGACTGATCGACATTTGCATTCATTTGCCCGAAGAAAGACGCCCAAAGTTCACAGGTCGGAGGAAGGAGACCCCAAAGGAGCTCGCGTTTGAGTTGAAGGATATGGATGGAGATGTCTTTTCTGACGAGACGTTGCAAGAGGCCTTCTTCAAGGTGGGCGCCTTGATTTGAGCGCACATTGCACGAGGGAACGTCTCCAAATGGGGAGTGAGATCCACCAAAATTGGCCTTTGGCCAAAGGGAAATTCAACTATAAACTTGTTGGAGGTTCTCATTTCGAGACGCATTCATTTGGAATCAATCTTGTCTATTTTAGACTAAGAAGGCCAAGAGCTTTACATAGCTTTACACACACTTCTCCAGGGCTGATGCTTGGTTTCCGTTTAGTTTCTCAAAAGAGTACACAGCTGCCTGGCTTCTCAGCCCCCCCATCCACTGGGTCAATTCATCTGACTACGCTTGGGTTCCGACACGTCGAGGTTTTGACATCTGACTACACTTTGTCAATCCCAGACACTCCATGGGACTGCCATATATGCCTATACATTGACCCCCAAAACCACCCCAATGTAGGCATATGTAGGCATATATGGCATACATGGAGTGTCTGGGAATCTTTTGCATTGATTTCGGTTCTCTCCGATGGTTCTCCCCCATTGCTCCTTCATGTCCAGGTCCTCCTGGGCTCCAACTTTTCAATGGACGACCTGCGGACAGTCCTGATGGCAGCGCAGCAGGGCGCTACGAGGTGCCTGGGCCTAAACGAACGTCGCTGCCCAAACGAAAGTCTGACCTCTAAAAGACTGTTCTGAACGCATGGAGTTCAGATTGACCATCTTTGTTGGGGTTGAAATCTCAATGTCCAAGAATCGACTTGAAGGATGTTGCGGCATTTATGGCAGGTTATGGTAGGTTCACTTGTTGATACTTGATACTTGTTGTCTATGATCTTATATGTCCCCCTCAATCATCGTGGACTTGTCTTTCAGCATTGGTCCCCTTTCTTTGGGGCGATTCTTTCCACTACGTGGGTGACCTGGAGTGAGCTTCTTATTGGTGCTTCTAAATCGGCATAGAATTGAGTTCCAACAAGATGACCACATGTTTGATGATGTTTGCACTCCAAAAGCAATGTTGGAAGACTGAACAAAAACATCAAACACCTTACCACCTGGTGGCATGCGGAGCCTTCCGAGCATCATCTTCACACCCTGTTCGGACGGAGAGACACACCGCATCGGACCACTGGTCGTGGCAGGACGAAAACAGAAGTCGTGGCAGGTTGGTTTGGAATGGGTCAGCAAGAAGGTACAAAGGCGCGGGATCCACGGAGAAGCTGGATCATGTTGATGAAAGAGTGCAGACGCTTGCACCTACTTTGGATCAGGGTAGAGCAGGGTCAGTCCAAGTGTCACCAGGCCTTTCTTGAGATGAAGGGTTGGACCTACTTTGGACATCCTTTGGATAAGGGTAGAGCAAGACATGTCTTTTGCATCTCAAGGTTTGCCAGGCCCGGACTGTATTCTGTCTGTGGGCAGGAATTGAACATGGAGAGATGTGTTACAACTCAGTTTTTCCTCTACTACAACAGTTTCTGTTGGTGGTCCAGAATTTCGCTGAAAGCACATGATCAAGACCGAACCGCGGTGGTGCAGGCTTTGGTTCATCAAATCTTGGGAAGTTTGGCGTTCGAGAATTACCGCCTTCGAGTGATTATGAGCTGCAAGAATAGAGTCTTGGCTGTGTGTCAAATCTGATGGCTGTGTCTAAGGAACATGTGCACATGAACCCAGGTCAGTAGTTGTTTCATGTTATTTCTATCAGATCGATATGTTCCTTTTTCTGGGGTCCTTACCTTCTTTCACCACAGCCCTGCGATAGCTTGGTGCACTTTTGAATGTTCCTCCTTTCTCAGGCAAGGACCCCATGGGTCTGGCTAAGACCTGCGAGAGCTTCCAACAATGTGGAGAGCTGCGTCTCGAGCTGCTGGCGCTTTGGGAGAAGATCTTTGTGAGCTGGGTCGAGGGAGGGGCTTGGATCACAAAGGTGCCTGAGACTGCTGAAGGCCTGGCAAGGCTCTTAAAGCTGGAGGATGAGACGATTCTAGAGCTGCTGATGAAGATCATGAAGTTCATGTTGGAGATTTGTGTCTCAAAGGCAGGGCATCACCACATCCAAGGAGGGCCGGCTGGGCATTTGATATACTCCTGAGAGCTTCCTCATTTTCCTTTTCCTTTGAACATCTGGTATTGCTGGCATCGTGGGTAGATAGCCTGCGTTTAATTTGGAATGTAGATCGCACTTTTATATGTGACAGCAGACTGCGACTGCATCGTGTTCTTGTAGACCTTCAGTCAGTGATGTAGATAGATAGCACACATCCCTCGTAAAACAGATGTCTCCAGTGTCGACTATAGTCTGTAGAATTGAATAGAACGACACCAGCAATGGCCTCCACCCTACAAAAGATACAAAAGCGATGGCCTCCAATGTAATGGCGATGGCCTCCAATGTACATATCGACTCTGTCTCCAGTGGGTCCGACTCAGTCTCGGTTGCTGCCGGTCTCTCGACTGCAGGCCTTTGGAGAGCTGCCGACGCTGGTGAAGCGGGTGGCGCCGTTCCTGCACAAGCTCAAAGACCAGGAGGCAGTGTCAGACCAGGAGACTCTGTGTGGTTCAAGAGAATCCCCTGGCCCAAAGGTTTTTTGGCCATATTTCCTCATGCCATAGCTCTTCGGGGGTCCCCTTATTGGAATGGTTCCAAAGAACACCCCCACTGAGGGAAGACATTTGGTGTGTCTTGTGTCTTCTGGCAGTCTGGGAATTGCACGGATTGGCCGTGAGTGACAAAGTGCAGCCAGACTCTGAAGTTGTTCCCAGAAATCGTGCAGAGAAGATTCTACTGGCTTGTCTTACTGCTGTAAATCACGTTTTTCGTATGTTTGGAATTGTTTGGATTCTTTAGTTTTGCTTAGTAGTGCACAGAAGTTTTTTTGCAAACACCTATTCTACAAACATTGTGCAAGGTCCAGGACACTCGTTTAACCCGGGGCTATTCGTGGACGTTTCGTGGAATGGTGGCCAGTAGGAAAACGGACTGCAACAAAAACCCACAAACCTTCGCAGAACTTTGTGGAAGGTATTTGTGATGAACTGACTAACTTTGTATAAGTATATATAAGCCATTTTGCTGGCCCCTTTCTCCACACATCCTCCGTTTAGCCTTCATAAATTCTATCCATGTTGGTGTTGTCCAACATTAGTGAGATCAAATTTTGAAACGGCATCCAATGCCCCTTCGATCAGTCGATTTCTTTTGTTGGTGTGCGCGGGCTGTGTGGGTGGGGGCTATAGTTTTTGGAAAGCGCATCAAACACTCAAGATTCTGCAACTTCTCCTTTAGAAAAGCTTATGACGGAGTCCTTTGTGAGAAGGTGCAACCGCTGACCTGATTTGGGATTTTGGAGATACACAGACGACTGATGAGTTGCAGGAGAGCTTCTGGGGGAGGAGGACAGTCTTTTTGGTCAGAATCGCATCCCTTCTCAAGGCATTAGTAGGAGGTTGATGTGTAATGAGTGGGAGAAAGGGGTGCGAACCTGACTCGGGCCCCACCTAAAGGACCTGACTTAGGTTTCAAAGTCATCACATGAAGGACGTGCAAAAAGCATCAAAAAGCTGTTCGGAAGGTGATGGAGCTTGTGTCCTCCTACATCACGAGACATGGATCTTTGGTCAACTTTGGAGCTGGCAGCAAGGAAGTCAAGAGACTTGACAGCAATGAGGAATCTGAAGAGTAAACAGTGGCATGTTGGGAGTTTTGATGGTCAATGATGCTCTTGAGAGAACCACCTGTCAGATACCTGTTTCGTCTTGGATACCTTCTGTTAGAATAGGCGGGTGCATTCGTTGCTGGACAGTGCCAGTCAAGGGAGAGATTGCAAAGAGAGACGCAACAAAAAGCGGAATTTGTGTTATGGTCCTGTAATGTCATCACTGCCGGATGTGCTCCACTACTTGTGCACAAAAGTGGGCAACTACCTGTTTTGATAACTACCTGTTTTGGTGCCGGATCTTCGAAGCTTTCTCTGAACAAAATACAATGAGAATGGTAAGACGCTTTCCTACATGTTTGTCTCGAGTCTCTAGATCCAGATGACCCGGTCAGGGAGATTATCGGTTGTGAGATGGCCAACTGGGTCAAAAAGGGGGGACCTGGTTGATTTTTTGTACACAGAAAATGAACAGAATAGACTACCACAGACAGGTCAACCTACCGCGGTTTAGGGCGCTGTAATTTGACCCACAGCCATATAGAAGAAGTTTTGAGCTCGTTGGTCGCAGCTTGGTCGCTCTAGGAGAATCCTCGCAGTGCTGGACGCGGGCAGCAAGCTCTCAGAGATGCTGATCGCTTTGAGAGGGTTGAGAGAAGCGAGGAGTGGCGCGAGGGTTTGGGAACCGCTTCAACAATCAACTGATGCAGTCAGAATTTGGCAAGAGGGGGCCTCTTTTTAAGGACATCCATCCAGGGGAACACATGGAAACGGGCATTGAACATCTGATGCATCGGGAGCGGGCTCTCCGTGCTCCGTTTCGCAAGCCCGCACACCAACGACCTCTCGGCTCTCCGTGCTCCGTCTCACCGTGGTGTTCGTTGCACCAAGGCTGACGGGAGCCCATCGCAACGGTTTGGACAAAGTCATCGGAGCTGAAGTGGATAAGGCATGCAAGGCAGGTTCCTGTGGGTCCGCCGGGGGGGGTCCTTCCTGTGGGAAAGGTTCCTGTGGGAAGTTCGTCGAGATCATTTGAACATGACCACCTCCAAGGAGCATGTGGGGTTTTCAAAGTTCAATTGCTCTTGGGGCATGCAAGAGCTTCGGAAAGCTTGGAGAAGCACCCGGTGTAGCTCCCAAGGAACTCGCACAGTGCTTGTTACAAACTCCCAGGTAATTCTTGAACAATACTTTCATCCTCTATCAGGACTGTGGCGGCATGCAGCTGTTGGAAGCACTCCCTCAGATCAAGGTGGAAGACAATTCGACAGCATCCAAGGCAGCGGTGATGTTCGAGGGGAGGAAAAGGGGTGAAAGGAAGGATGGACTTGAGAGTCATCATGAGCCTCAGTGAACATATCTCTCGAGACCAGTCACCCCACCTCTGAACGGATCTTGTGGTTGAGGCCCGAAAAACACTATGGCCTGCATGGGGCTAATGTAGCGGCTACTGTGGATCCCTAGTTTCATTGAAAGACACTTCCAGGAGATCGATTCCGGCACGTTCTCATCGCCGTGGTTTCCAAAAGAAGACCCACAGCGCAGTGTTGTTTGGTTGGTGGACATAGGCATCCGGTGCTGCGGCAATGGATCCAATAGAACGCTATAAGCAATAGAAGACCTTACGGACCTTACGGTAGATTTTAATACCGACGGTTTTCATGCATATGATGCTACTAGTTTTGCAAACTGCCCCACAGAGACAGAACCGCAGAATATGTTTGATGAGCAGAACATAGCCACTTTATGCCACTTTGGTCATGTTCGAAAGAATTGGTTAGAACAAGCGACTTTTGTTTGCTCTCCGGTCTTTCATGGAGTGAGTATATAGTTTGGTGGCTTGTAGAACTGACAAGTATGAAAGGCTTGATTTGGCTCGATTTTTTCTCTCCAGGAGATGTGCACGCTTTTTGTGAAGATGATTGTTGACCGGGTCAGCACCTCAGTGCCTTCCACCTGGTGAAATTCTGCAGACCTTTAGCAGGTTGACTGTGACCTTCAATTGGTAGATTTAGAATTTAGATTCTTCATCCCAACATATCACGAACGGTAGCTTCAGCTACCTGAGTTTTATCTTGCGTAAGCAAGGGGGCTGCCTTGGGGAAGTTGTTGATTTTCGATGATTTTTGTGGTCAAGGTTTGATTCTATTCATTGGGGGGTCAACAGCATCATTATCATCATCAGCACATTTTTCATCATCAATCATCATATAATTTTCTTCCTCAGCTCGTCTTCTTCCTCCTCCTCCTCCTCCTCCTCCTCATCAATATCTCATCATCATTATCGTCGTCTCATTATCATCCTCATATATCCTTATCATCCTCCTCCTCCTCCTCCTCATCCTCATCCCGACATTGTTCCCTTTGCCAGATGATTGGTTGTGTCTCCAATGACACATGCATGATGGCTACCTTTCGTTCACCCCTCCTCAAGTTATAATATGTTATATGTTGGGAACATTTAATTCAAACCCAGAGAATAAGTATTCATTCGCAATCCCATCATGTTGATTCATTCTGGGACACGCTGTAAGGGCCTCTAGCCAGCTTCCACCCATACGCAAAAGACAGATACGCGCAGCCCGAGAATGCCTGACTTTGGGCACCCACCATCTCGGAGGTAACTATTAGCCAGCCTAGCCTGAGAAAGTAAATAGAACCTAGCCAGCCTAGCCTGTAGGCAGTCTACAGTATAGTAAATAGCCAGCCTAGCCGAGTAGTAGGAGCACGGTCTTTTGCGAGACGACGGATTTGTCCGGTCTCTGGCGACTCGAGCGTCGACCCAAGCCCGGACGGCCGTCTCGCGCTGGCGAGCGTCGAGCGAAGAGCGTCGAGCGAGCCATGGCGACGTCGGAATCAATCGTTCTGTGTGTGAACAGAACAGGTTACACAGGTCCACCAAAATTTGATACTCACCTTATAGTTGCAATCTAGTAGTATTTAATATAGTTAAATCATGTTAAATCCATCCAAATCTATCCAAACCCTTTGAATGAATGCGACTCTGAATGCTGGTTTGAACAGTTCACTCATTTGCTCGGTCTCGAGCTTCCGACAGCCTCTCCACGAATCATCCCATCGGTTCAGCTGTTGGGATGAGAAGGCAAACAAAAAAGTAGGGACTTGCTGCAGCCACTTTTGTTTTTTTTACATGTGATTCACATATATATATATAATACATATATATATATATCATTATGTGATGACTCGTATCCAACAAAACCAGAGACAGACGCATGCCCAATTCCGAATTCACCACAATCCACCACACCACGTAAAAGTTAGGACCACAGCCGTGCCAGGCCCCCTCCATTTGCTATGAAGCCCGGACCTTCGCGGACGCCGTGAAGCGGTGCCTGGCCGCGTTGCGCGACGTGAGGCCTTCCGCCGCCGTTCGAAGTGGATGTGCGCTGAGACAGAACGAGAGATCTGTAAAAGTCTCTGGATGTGCGTCCGAACTGTAGTGACTATGTCGATTTGAGTCATGATACTTGGTGTGTAAATTTCAAGTCTGATTGTGATAATGATAAAGAGACTTCGATTTCCCTTCGATGTAAATCAGAGACCACTGAGATGACCGTGTCGTGTCGCTTGCGCGGGCAACGAGTGAAGAACTCACTCTCCGGCCACCGCCTACTAGGCCCTTGGCCGAGGGCGTGCTCTTGGCGTTGCTGGAGGCTGCTCCCAAAGAATCCATGGACGCTCCGCAGCAGTGGAGGATTCGTGGGACCGGACGACAGTTGGACGAAACTACAACCAGCCCTCCAGCACGGCTGTGCTGCAGCGCGGAGCCCTTCTTTGTGCTGTTCTTTTTCGGCCCGAGCTGAGCAATCTTCGTTTGGAGGGAGAGTTTTTGGGACCATGGAAAAGATTGGCTGGATGCAATGAAATGAATTTCCCCGGTGTTCCCAGCATTCCCCAGCCAGTCTGACATAGCTTGATCATTTCTTTAGCATTTGATGGACCTTCGCATGGTGGGAAGATGGGTTCACATACGGGGGTGCGCTCAGTGTGCTCAGCTGTATCCTAGGAAACTTCTATGAAACACTTCTTTAGTAATTGTAGGACCTTGATGAGGCATTCGATTTCACCAGTTTCTTGACAGGGAAGTTGCCTCTCGCAAGTATTTGCTGGACCTACTTGTAGAAAATCGTGAGCACCATGTAGATGAACGCCGACAATCTATTGGCAGCAAAACCGTGGTTTTGACCAAAAACTCCGCGTGGTCGCCCTGGTCGCTGAGATCAAAGGCCAGAGGCACTGTTTGAGCTAAGGATATTCATACCCTGATGGAGAAAGGTGCTGAGCATTGGCGGCTCTTGCTCAAGGCAGCGGCCGACAGTGGGATCAATGGACCTGGCAATGTTCCAGGGCGGATGGAGGATGGATGAGCCCATATGCAAAATGGCAAAATGAGGGGCCCCATAGGCTTTACAGCTTGAAGTGTTTCTCAGGCGTCTCATCAAACTGATCAGTCCAGAAAAGGCCACCTGATGGAGGGCCTCTCCAACTGGGATCTTTCTCTTCCGGCTGGTAGGCCCTAGTGGGGAATGTGGGGAACTGCAAACCGCTGTTCTATGTCGTTTTGTTTCACGGCTTGAACCAACCATGGGCCTGGCAGACCTGCGTTTCGACATGTGTCGCAACATGTGTATATACATGTGTATACCCTCAAGTGGCTCCAGTAGTCTTGATGAATTTCAGCTAATATGCCAATATCCCTTTTTTTATCCTTTCTTGAATGGAAAGACAAGGCTTATCGCAGTGGCTGTGGCCTGTCGCTTCACGCATGGCTTTTCCTTTCAAAGAAAACTTTGCTCCAAATACAGCCTGAGACGGCCGCTTTTCTGCGCAGGCCTTGTTCAAATGCATCATGAGGGGTTGTCGTCAAGCGGGTGGTTATCGTCAAGCGACCCTTCAACTGTGTAGATGTTGTATTTGCCAAGCTTGTTGGCCCTGCTCGATCAGCTTGTACGCCGAAGGATTTGAAGATTTGTTAGGAGGTGGCCATCATCCCCAAACAACCCTTCAAATCAGTGGGTTCGGTGAAGCACAAGGCCTTCGCACAGGCGGATCCAACAGGATTCCTAGAATTTTCCATATGGCAGTGTGGGCAGCTGTAGCCCTTAAGAGCCGGTTGCCCCGGTGCGTGCCCCGCCTGGTAGCTGTGCTTGTAGCTATCCAGTTTGGGTGGTGTGTGGGCATAGACAGATGTTTCGTAGAATCATCTACAAAGTCATAGCTGAGATCAACAACTTCATGGCCAGGCCTGGGAGGAGCTCGGAGAGCGCCCCAGGCGCCAGGAACGGCTGGCGGAGCTCTTCCATATGGCGAAGAAGAGCTTGGGAGATTTGGTCACAGGCGATTTTCCAGGTTTGATTGAAGATTCAGCTTATTTCGACATATACATTCAATGAAATTCATCAAACTCCGCTTGGATATTCCATGGAGCAAGCTGTCTTGATGGTTCTCAAAGGTTGTGCTTTCTTGGAGTCAAGATGACTTTAGGCTTCAATTCGCCCATATTATTGGTTCAAATACGTAAAAGAAAACACCCGTATATACTCACCACCGATCCTTTTGTTCGAAAGACTTAATGAAGTCGGACACCCCCCGTTTGGAAAGAATGGCGCCACTCCGGAACCAAACTGATTCGTGAATTCCCTCATGGTCAGGTGAGATCAAATTGGCTGATGCTGAGACCCTGCTGAGCCACAACCGGGAAGCACTCCTGGAGCTCCTCACAGCACTCGCCAAGGACCTGTGCCAGCTTTATGAAAACACATGAATGCCTTTCGCGTGTGGCGCCACGCTGTTTCATCTGCTGTAATTCATTGAAGTGAGCTTCCTATAAAGTAACATGTTGAGAAACAATGGCCGTTGTCCAGATACTGCTGCTCGCTATGTCACAGTGGAACGGCCTCGACTCTTGTGACTGTTGGGCCTTGAACTCCATATCTTTTCAAGCTGGCTGAAGCGGGTGTGCAGCGGGCGTGCAGCGTGTTTGCTTCGCGGCCGGAGGGATCTTTGAGAAGCCGGAAGCTTCTTTCAACGCTACGCACATGCAGCATGCATTTGATGGAATGCTTTACAACAAAGCATTGCATTTGGGAGTTGTTGAATGGGAGGGTGACGAAGTCTTGTGCAGAAGACTGGCAGACTTCTCCAGCGCTTCTGGGCTGTGTCTCTGTACCTCTTTGCGTAGTGCAACTAGTTTCAAGCTACCATGCACAGCCGACGGGACCACTGCAGCATACTGCCGCTACCTGCTGCCTTGGCGCCTGCGTAAGTATGCCAGGCATGGAGGAAGTCTTGTTGCGGAGTATATCGAAGTTGGTTCCAGGCTATTGCAATAGATGTGCCTGCCAAACAGGTACACACATTTGCTTACGGCTTACGTGCCGATGGCAGCTCAGCTGCAGCCAGGGTAGCACAGTGCCTGACAAGCGAAGGAGGTTGTTGATGTCTTGAAAGGCCTTTGGCCAACCCTTGACATCCCGGACTCACTTGAGGTTTCGCAGCTGCTTTTGCAAGCAGATTGTGCGAGCAGGTTGCATATTTTATCCGTGCTTGCTTTTGCCCGATGACCCTTCACATCCAATTTTGTGGGAAGCAAAACCACTGGCTCACAGTCCAGGGTGGTGGTTCATGTGATGTTAAACAGTTCAAAGAATTGGAGCACAAGATGATTCACGGTGTCAAATGCCTTTTCCATGTCAAGGACAACTTGAATGCCCAAACAAGCCCTGTGCAGTGGTGCCATGATGATGAGTTTGACAAAGCTTGCGTACATGATGGCAGTGCTGAGAAACAGCGAGCATGCAATCCCTAGTACCCCTTTGTTTTATGACATACAATATACAATGGCATTTGACGAAGTGTCGGATAGGTATGTTGTATAACTCGTTTGCAATAAATGCGTGAGATTGCCTATATTGTCCTTACTGCATGTCCTTGCAAAGGTTTTGCAGGCTTCAGTGTTTCATCATGTTTATATCTTTTTCAGCTGAAGCTCTGAACCATGTCAAAGTGGACGAAGATAGAAGTGCAAAGTCACCAGAACCATCACACTTCACCGAACCCCGCACAATTCTGCAGTACCTGGATGGGCTTGACCGGGCCGCGACGAACCTGGTGAGCATCATTGAGACCCAGGTCCGTACGTGCCTTGGCTGCGTAGGTGCTGGGCTTGAGGAGGATGTAGATTTCTGAAAGAGTGCGTGTGCGGAGCGCGAGGCACAAGCTGGACATTGCAGAGATGTTGTGGGCCACCAGTGGATTCTTACCACTTGCGCGGCCGCGCAGCGGCGACTGTCTGAGGTACAACGAAGCAGCTGAACGATCCAGGAATTTCCTCCTACTTTGCAGACACTGCGGGCTCATTGGCTCTGCAGAGGCCCGTTGTGCTGGGCTTCAATCAGATCAGACAATGTGGCCTTCCATACCTCCAGCCAATCCAAGTGGCCCCCCGAGACCCAGATGCCTGCTGCTTGCACTTTGCAATTCATTGCGGTCTGGTGGTAGTCCTATCAAGGCTAATTATGAGCACATCCTCTCAGCAACCGAGCTTCACCCAAAGGCTACTGCCACCAATAAGGACTTGGCTGTGAGTGATCATACCTCTTGGACCAAAAACATCAGAATACTGGCGAACATCCAGTGCCTTTTTCTCGATGTGCGAACACTGCGAACTATTTCTGTTTGTCAGGTATTTTGTTTTTTTTTTGACTCACTGCCGCCTATGAATGTTGAATGATGAGCTAGTGAGACAATTGTGACAAGGGTGTGATGCTGTGTAGGTTGGGTTCTACGTCTTGTAAGATTATTGAATGTTGAAAGAAAAGGACTTTAGTAGTAGAACGCGCAGTGGCCAAACCGCAGTGGCCAAACTTATGGTAGTATATACAATCCTGATAGATCCTGATAGTAGTATTTAGTATTAATTAGTATTATATTGTACTGTTGACACCTTTCACCACCCAAATGTTGGTCTAAAGATGTGGCCCCCGCAAACACCCGGTGCAAGCACGATGAAGCGAGAGCAAAGTCGTTCGGAGTCGGCTTCGGTCGCTGGTTCTTCCTGCCGGAACAGGTGTCTACGGCTGGCCTTGCAGTCTTGGAGCGCGACAGACAGAAGTCCCTCAAAAGATTGCAGTGGCTGAACGTTGAGGAGACCGCAGTGGCCAAAACTACGATATACTCGTAGTAGAAATGCCTCATCCAGTGGTTACTGATTGAGTGGCCAGTGTGGTGAGCGTTTCTGCACTGATTTTGACGTCTGAAAGTAATGGGAAGAGGTTGATCTAGTACATGTGCACCATGCTGCGTGGGTGTTCAAACGTGGCCAAGTCTGTCAAGTCTTTGGTCATAGAGGATCACCGTGTTTCCTACGAACTTGGGCTGCCAACATTCCCAGTATCGAGGACGAGCTGCAACATCACCAACCGAGCCTGTGTGGTCAATCTGACACTTGCTGAATCCAAAGGCTATCCGTAGCAATTTGTCCTCCAAAAGTGGACATGTTGTTTGCCACAGGAGAATTAACTAGTGCTGGAAGCCGTCCACGTGCTGAAACTTGAGACGAACACTCATTGGGGTGTACAAGGCTTTGTGAGGTCTTGGTCACCATCGGGCTGAGCTCGAATGCGCCAAAAGCATGCCGCCTTTCTCGCTAGGACCGCTGGTGGTGTCCGAAGTTGAAAGCCATCAATGATCTTCCGAGCTGTGATCCCCGGGCTGAATTTTTGCTTGGCTATTTGTTCTCTTTCTTTGTTTTTTTTGTTTGGCAGGTGTTTCACCAACAGCAGCTTTATGGTTCACATGTGAAAAATACGGCCGCCAATTTCGGGTGCATTTAGGATGGTCAGGGTTTCCCCTACAGTTCCTGAAAAGACAGCAAGGCTGAAAGGTTTGTTGCAATCTGAATGGAAGAGATAGCTTGTTCCGGGAAAAACACTCTGCGACGAAGACTCAGACGTCAAGCCGTGCAGTACTCCCTGTGTATATCCATGTTCTCAAGCAATCGGTCAATGAATCCAACCGTTTGTTAAGACACATTGCGAAGAAAGGAGAGCATGGCAGAGTCTCCGACAGAGCCTGTTTTTCACATTCGTCATCCCTCTGGATCTCCAAGGAGATCTTCAAGAGGATCGTGATCAGGTGGGCCAAGGATGAGGAGGCGCTTACTGCTGAGAGCGACGCCGACAGTGAGGAGGAGGGCGGCGCTTTGGAGGGAGCAGCTTGATGGATTTGTTTCATTAGTTCATCATTTCCAGACCCATCAGGTTTACTGTATATATAAGTGTAGTCACTGTAGTCGTTTGTTTCACCAGACAACCAGCGCGTTGTTTGTTTTTGTCCTATTTTTTTCCAGAAACCAATCCTTTTGAGCCTAACCCATTTGAGCTACGTTTATGTCGAACTGATGAACTACTATAAAAATGAGAGTGCACGTGCATGTATTCTTTGTAAAAGCAGACATGTTGTATCTTATTAGTCTTTGCAGCCGGTGGAAGACACATGGCATAGGCTTTTGACATAGGCTCTATTCTGGACTCGAACCTTCTGAGGGGAAGCATTAAGTAGTTTGAGCTGCTTGGAGGGATAAGCCGCCCCAAGTAGTTTGAGATTCGGTGAGGAGAGATCAATTACGAATCATAAGTTTAACTTTTTATTGTCCGGTTGTTGTTTTATCTGGGGCTATTCCACCAGATGTCTTCGCAAAGAAAGGCTTGTTTTCCATTTCACCGCTTCCCCCCCCCACGAAGACTCTCGTAGCCTTCCGCATCTCTTGCGCTTCCTTTCTCTCCTCGTCTCTTTTTGTGCGCACGGCTGGCTTCCGCAGCACGTCTATCTCATCACTGTGAATTGGCTGTCGACGTATTTTGAACTAGTACGTCTCACAGCGATCTGTTTGGACATTTGAGGACTTGGAGTTTTATGCCATGTGTGCTAACCTCTGGTGGTGAGATATGAGGGACGGTCAGAGTGATCTGGGAACCCAGACTTGTCATCTCAACTCAGGAAGCGCCGCAGCATGATGAGAGAAGTCACCTAGACGTGTTGAACACTGAGATGGACGGAGGCTTCTTATTCGATGCCAGTAAAATGCTGCAGAGCTTCTTTGATGAATTCGTGAGTGGCTTGGACTGTGATGCGCCAGACCCAGCGGTCAGTAGTTCGAGCAACAATGAGTCCAGAGTCCGGAACACCATTGAAAGCAGCAAAACTTCCAAAACTGGTGAAGTATATGATTCCTTGAAACAAGCAACCGCCCATAGTTTGAAATCTTTTTGGTTGCTTAGCCGCTTAGCCCTGTCACGCCGACATGACCCACATCATGAGGACAAGCCAGATGTTTGCACAGGACACGGACGGGTATTCCATGCAAATCAATGGATGAGTGAAATAAACACATACAAAAGCCACCATGCCATAGTCACAGCTTTTCCAAAAAAATATCCATATCGACTCCTCACCATGCATGCCTGTTTTTGTGTCAGAAGTGTCGGGTTCCTCAACAAAACAATGACAATGATTCCAGTGAGGCGAATGTAAGACGCTGGCTGAGACGTCCGTGACGAACTTGGAGTTCGACAGGGTCAGTGAGCTGATCCCCATGGAAGAGGAACAGCTTTCCGTTGGCTCCGTTTTGGCTGGTATGTCGATTAGATTTTACGGCAAAGAATCTTCAAAAGGGGACGTGCAACTTTGGTTGGTTCTTGGGAAAACTGTGTGGTTTTGCAAGCGAACCTTGAAGGTGGTGAGTGACTTATCTTGGGCATGTTCAGTCTTGGTAAAGTCTTGGTATGATTTTGTGATCCAATCCCTTGCCCAAATGTTGTAAAAAAGCTCTTGATTGAGTAGCGGATTATTGGATTTGTTTATTGGCCATCATTGGCACAAGAAACCGGAGTTGGAACGTTCTCAAGTTCCTATTGAGCGACCGAAACACGTATCGAGAGGCCAGTGAAGTTCGAGAGCATCTGAGCGTCGCCAACAAAGTTCGAGTGCTCAGTTCGAGTGTTCACGGTGGCCGTTTCAGATGTGATAGGTCCAACTGTGGGTGTTCCTGAAAAACATCTTTAGCACACCTAGTCATCATGAGTGCCTGGCAGAGTGCCTGGATTCTTGAACAACTTGTGCTGGCTTTCCTTGCCCAACTCAGAGGAATGCAACTCCAGAGGAATGAACAGGAGGTGCTCACCAGGAGGTGTGCGACGATTGAAAGGGAACACAGGAAAGGATAGGAAAAGATCAACGAAGAATAGGAGGGGTAGAATCGAGCAACCACAGTCAACTCTAGACAATGTAGAGGCGATCCAACAAGTGACGAGTTAACCTAGGAATACCCAGGATTCCCTGGAAAAAAGCTAGAAAGGAAAGAGTCAACAGCGAAGAGAAAGCTTGAACCACACGCGAAAGTTTGAAGAGTGAAATTGCATGATTTGGCATTTCCGCCTGCAATGTTGGATTGATGATATAATAATCACCCCAGTGTGGCATTCATAATTTAGACATGTAGCAGACACTTTGACCACTTCTCTTAGGAGATGCTTTCAGGGAATTTCACCTGCTGTGGGGGCTGCTTTAGATGTTTAGATTCTTAGATGATGGCCTTTCTCGGAGAAGTGGCGTGACAGCGTCGCTCTTCAGACCGCCGAGGCGAGTGGCGTCGGTTTCCCGGAGTTGTTGCAACGGACCCTCCAGATGGCAGCGCGTGTGCCTCGGGCAGCGGCGGACTTGGAGGCTGTGTGCCTTGGCCAAGTACAGTTCAAAGCCACAAGGAGGGGGGTCGCCTTTTGATTATTTCCAGTCTCCTACCAGGGGAAATTCACTATAATTAGCATAATTTGTATGGTTCTAGTACAGATAGTATTTGTGTCTTTGATTGGTTTTGAGTTTTGAGTCTTGTTGATTGTTTTTGCGCTGGTTCCAGGGTGGTGTTTGCGGTGCTTCCGTACTTTCGGAAGAGTCCGCAGTCCGCATGCTTCTTTTTTCCCGGCTTCTTTCAGACGTAGTAAGACCACCAACTATCCGCCCAGATTGAAGGAGCGTCTTCGTTTACAACATACCCAGATTATTATAGTCGTTTTGTTTTCAAGTATAGACAATGGGCCTGGAATGGCCTAGGACACTCCCAAGTTATACTGGCAGGAGGAAACGACTCTTGCCACCCCTTTTTGTGGCGGCGTCCAGTGGTGAGAAGAAAGTACATTCTCGCGGGTATATAGATCGCGGCATTTGGGATGCCCAAAGACTATATATCGGAAATCAAAAGCTTTGGGAAGCCCCCTGCTTGAGCAAGAACATCTTTCAATTTTGCTGTAGAAGCACATCCAAGTCTTGTTACAACGCAATTTTTCACGTCCCTTCTCGGAACACTCGGAAGGAAGAAAATATAATCCACCAAATCAGCACTAGGCACCCTTTCGACACGTCCCTCGACCAAAGCCTGACGCGGCCGTGCCCGGTGGACCGAGGCACACGGCTGCGGGTGTCTTGGGCATGCGAGCTGGAAAGACCGAAGTCGAGCAGTTGAAGAGTTGGGCGACACCTTGGCTTGACTTAGACCATCGAAGGTGGCTCACCACCGAGTCATGAGCTCATGACTGTGCTTGACAAATGCCATCCAGAAACGCCATCCCCTTCAGCTCAGTGGATAGATTCGGGCGGATGCACACTGACTCAACACACGACTTGGCCCTCAAAGGACTTATCAGCAGTAGACGACCCTGACATGCAACAAGCCTCCCAAAGTGAAAATACGTATCAGGACAAATTGGACGTTGCCCCCTGCTCCCGGTGACACTGGGATTCGAGATCCACTGGACGAAGACTATGGAGACCCTTCAACAATCTAGCCAACAGCGGCATGACCGCGTACGAAAGCACACCAGATCTTGATGGGTTGAAGGAACAGAATACAGACCTGCGGAGAGGAACAGAGCTACGTAACATGTGCTGATTCCAATGTACAACCTTACGGCCCGCAGTGCTGCATAGTTTGTTAGTCTCTTAGGCCCGCGCAGGCTAGTATCCAGCAGGTGGATTTAGAGGTTCCTGAGTCCGTGGCAAGCACAATACTTGTCACGTCACACTTTAGTCGTGCACGATCTTGGAACGTTGAACTCCAGTCCAGCTGTCCCAAAACCCTGGCACATGCCCAAGCACTGGCAGCTTTCAACACGCTCCAAGGAAAAAGATCTCAGTCCCTGGTGCCTATCGCATCCCAGTGACTTCACTTGCCAAGTCGGTGGAGGATGCGGACGTCGTCTTGGGGAAGTTGGCGACCAAGGTGGTCGGCCCAGCAGCTGGCGGTTGCATCCCCATCGCACGAAACCTGGCGGAGGCCAAGGATTTATACGAATTTCTGAAGTGCCTTGGGCGAAGAACAACGTATGGACGACCCCCAGACACTCACCAGAGTGCCGGGGGTTAGGCAACAAATGCTTGAGAACAAACTCCAGGCCATCCCCCTCCCTCCTTGTTCCTTCGTGGCCTCTCGTGGCCGTCTAGTTGTTGCTGCATAAGCACAGCCTGTGCTGCCGCCCCCAATCCCCCACAGTTTTCAGATGGGGGATTGGTTATGTTTCCTTGGATCATTGCAGTTAGGATCTACATTTATTAAATTAGTTGGTTGAGTGTTGGGCCTGTTTAAGTTGGGGAGCGCGTGGCGAGTCATGTTGGCTGAGCCACCTTACCTTCATCAGTCTTTTCTTGCCCCTAGATGTATATATTGTATAATTGCGTGTCATACTTATTTATCAGTGATACTTATTGATGTATATTGTACATTATACACATGTAGTACAGATTGTGACTCAGGTTTTTCCTCAGTTAAGACACATGCAAGGTCTTTGGCAGCTCTTGAAATATCTGGCACATGGTTTGCAAGGGGCCGTTTACTTCCCTGTAGTATCTTATTCCGTGTTGTGTCTTCTTCTACCGTTGAATACTCATCCTTGTTGTGCAATCCCAGAGCGTTGCTGGGTGCAACGCTTCATTTTTCGCTACACCTCTCTCGTGACCAGTGGCTTGTGTATTCAATGTGTTCGGATTCTTTTGGTTTCCTGGGCTCTTTTGCGAGCACATTGAAGGTTCTTGTAAGTATGCAGGCAATTTTTATCCACCCTTGTCACCTGTTATTGATCCAGTTCTGGCCCGGTTCATGATTACTTTTCAATGCTTTCCAAGTTCTCAGATATATTCAGGTTGCCTGGGAGCTGCGGCGTTTGCCTTATACTCCCAACTTGTTTGTCCGTGGCTTGCACACTACCTCTCAACATATACTCCTTACGTATTCGATTTCACGGAAGGAGCTAGCTTTCCTTTTCTTGACTGGCTTGATGACCTCGGGAGAGCGGGAACACCTCCCCGAAAAGCTTTTTAGAGCACACCTCTGATGCTCATGATTTCGTCGTTTCGTGAGGTCTTTGTTGGACGAAGATCTATTGCAACTGCAAGATTCCATGGAGAGCCACTCGGATGAGCTCCTGAGAATGGACACCATCTTTGCATTGGATGATGTGCGACGTCTCTTCAAGGCGCTGACGAAGAGACGCTTCAGGACTGGAAGAGCTGAAGAGCTGCAGATGGGATCAGAGAAGACATGTTGTTGTTCTAGATATTCAAGTGGCGCCCAGGGCTCGCTCCAGCCAAAGAATGTGTCTCACTGCCAAGTGCCTTTGTCTCTCGCTGTTGGGTGTGCTTTTGGCCCATGGCGCTTTCGATACAGGGCCTGTGCAAACAATCAGGTCTTTATGAAGCCAAAACGCCGCATTCCATGTATATTGATATATATATACACACATCACACCCCTTATAGATCTATGACTTGAACCTACCCAGATGCCAGTGATGGCAGCCTAGAATTTGTAGCAGCGCTCAGCCAGAGTTTGACATGTAAAAGCATAAACCAAGCTATCTGGCAGCAACTCCAGCTTGCATGAGGCTCTGAAAAAGCAACCATCATTACCCATTTCCTCAGCTGAGATTTATCTAGGGCTTTGTAGGAGGGTTTTGGGGCAGCTGACATGCAGGATGGACTTCGCTGATGCGTTGCTTGAAAGCGTTCAGGACAGACATGCCAATGGGTTCCAGAGAGCATACATCATCATACATCTCAGTCAGGCCATTTTGCTGCCGGACAAGTTTTCCTGGAATCAATCCTCCCGGAAACTACGATAACTATGCACCTTCTCCATGGATATTCCCTGTAGCTGGCTTCCCAGCTAGTGTGGGATTCGGTCGTTTGACAGGGAGTCAACATTTTATGTCTTTGTGCGAGGATCCAAGAATCACCGAACAAAGGATTGTGCTATCGACAACTAGCCACAATCTCTCGCTTCTTTCTTTGCATCGACCAATTCTCGATCCGACTCAACCTCGTTCTCAGCTCATCTCATCTCCCTTGTGGCGCTCGGAAGTCTCGCCGAAGCCCTGCCGAAGTCTCCCCGTTTGGAACAGTCGGTGCCGTTTTGTTTGGGGCGAGGGGCTTCCCTGTTGGTGTTCCGCTTTGGGAAGCCGGGTGGTCGATAGTGATTTGTGCAAAAACCTGGAAATAGCCGTGTTCTCTCGCCAGGACCTGAAGGACATCAGTGATTTGGCTGGAAAGTTGCAAACATGTGTGCAACATTCACATGGGCTGCAGAACTTGTACCGGAACTTATCGAATCGAGAGGCACGGGGCGGTGGGACCGCGCCACAAAATGGCTGAACAGTAAGCGAAGCAAGGCCTTCGTTGAGTGCAGAACAAGAGTCAACAAAGCCGTGTTCCTGTGCTTTGTGGTAAGAAAGAACGACGCTCATACGTAGTAGGCATCATGCAAATGAGACTTGCTTGAGGAGCATGTCACCGGGTGACGGGCCATCTAATATATACATCCATAGTTTTTTTTTTTGAATTGTACAACAATTATGAGAATGAAAAGTATTGTTTTGCACTCCAACAATCAGAAGCGTCACGGGCAATAATACCGATAATACCGACATCTTACTTCCAAAACAAACACCGATCAACATCTGCTGCTGCAACGTTTGAACTTGCAGCCAAGTTGGAAGAACATCCTGAAGTTTCAAGACTATGTCCAATGATTGTCTCCCTGCAGACCTTCCTTTGGGGTCAGACAGATGTTGTTTATTGGATTTGCAGTCACCAATCAAACCGGAGCAACGTGGGTCCGGGTCGCTCATTTTTGTGGTTTGAATCGAAGGGTTCATGGCATGGAAGCCTTGAACAGGAAAATTTGGAATCGTTTTGAATTGGTTGAGGGAGGACACATCTTTTTGTGCTTGCTTCTTCTTGTTCTAGTCTGTCTTACTCAGTTGTTCTTTCTGATTGTGATGCCCGTCCAATATATTGTTGCAACTATGTGTGACGGCATACGTTTGAATGAAGTGATATCAAGGTACCCAGGTATCCATGCATCCCTTCCTCAACAAATCCACGCCCGTTAGCAATTGTTACGCCTGGGCCAAGGGGTTCTCCTTATTTCAGGTCTAGCTAAGATACAAGCAAATCAGTGATTTGTTGGGATCAAAAGACATGGTCAGGAGCCAGTCCAAGAGATTTGCAATCCCCACCAGTCCAAGTCTCGTCCTCGTCTCACCGCAGCCTGCGTGATATCAACCGACTGGAGGAAGTTGCGACCGAGAAGATCAAGCAAGCCGTCAACTTGGGGACCTACCGCATTGAGTGCCACACCACTGCCGTTGACATCAGCCTGACATACCCCAGTACAGCCACTGGCAGCTTGCTTGGAAGTCGAAAGTCATACGACATATAGACACACTGTCCAGGTTGGACAAGTTTCTCCCAGAACACATCCAAGTCCGCCTGTCCGTATGTACCAACGATGGTCGTCGAAGCTGTACGAACGGATGGCCGAACGGGAAGGAAGGCGCTCGGCTCCGACGGACGTTCTTGTTGAGGAAAAATGACGCCAGACTGACGCTGTAGCAGCCAGGAACGATGCGTCGGTTTTGACCTCCTTCCCTCACTTGGCCAGGAACGATGGTGAAGCTGGGAAAGCAGGACTTGGTGGATTTGCGAGCCAGAGCTTTGTTGAACCACCCAGATGATCGGGCAAAAGGAGCAGACGAGAGGCCACTCATGAACTTGTTCCTTGTCCGAGAGGCCAGCTGTGCTCTCTCAGCCTTGGACGTGACAGTCAATGGAAAACATGTCAGAAAGCAGGGAACGGTGAAACGATGAAATGCTACCGTTCGCCGTTCGCCTAGGAACCGATACTGCAATGACCCGACCCTCCAAACCCATGGGCGATTTCCGAAAGAATAGACCACAACTTGTGAGTCGCTGGGCCTTCATGTTGTTCACACCACAAACATATGACTGTTTTGACTCAAGACTCGTGGCGAATCTCGTGGTCAGTCTCTAACCTTGTTGACTAGGTACCCGCATGTGATGGGTGCATGGGCTGCATGATAACTTGAGCGCTTATCAGGGACGTGTTGAGTCTTCCTTTATCTTCATTGCCCGACGTGCGCAGATGCGAACCAAGGCCTTTCACTCTCATTCAGATGTTGAGGATCTGAGTTCATCCAAAACTCTTAGCTTGTTCTTTGATAGTCGCTCTACCCTCGTTTGCTTCAAAAAGGCAGTGTGGCACCAAGGTTCCAGCACAAGAACACGTCTTTCTGACCTTTCCCAAGCGAACAGGATATTTATTGGTGCTTTTGTTTCATTTGGATCAACCGCCCAACCTCCGCCCGGAAAGATCACCAAGCGCTTCGTATCGCCCTCTTTCGACGACCGTCGCGACCGTCGAGATCGTTCAGGTTCGTGCAACAAGTGGACGTGCTGCTGCCGGCTTGCATCCAACTTGAGACACTGCGCGATGAAGGCTTCTACTGGGCGAGAACACGGGTTGAAGAGGCCTCCAATGTGGGAGGTGGCGCGTTGCAGAAGCTGATGCAGATGGACAAGAACTTTCAGCAGGAGGGAGGGGTCCTCGGAGGTCCCAATGTCCGGAACCAAATGCCAGCTCCCGGTGCCCAGTTCACCCGAGTTCACCGGAAACATGGTCAAAGCCAAAGCTCAATGTAAACTTGGAAAGGCCAACATCATTTTCCTGGATGTTCTTCCTTTTGGCCAAGTTGAGGACCTGCAAGAGTGGCGACTTCAACTTCAGGCGGCACGCCAAAAATACCCTGAGTTGGCATTCGTGTCCTGGATCAAACTTATCAGCATCCTGGAGAACCAGCCTCATAAAAGGCTATTTTCCACACCTGACACTTGCTTTGACTGAATGGCATTTTCAACATAAAGGGTCCTCCGAACAAGCATCGTGTCTTGACGCTTTGTGTTGGTATTTCGTAGAGGCGTCTTTGACCCTGCAATTGGTGCACACATAATATTAGGTAGATGCTCCCGTATTGAAGATGCACCATGAGAGGTATATAATATAAGTAGGACCTAGGGAATCTATAGGAAATGCATGGACATCCCACGAGATGGATTGCACATGGATGGAAATCGAATTATTGCTGATAGATGCTAATGGGTTCGTACAGTTCTTTTGCGGAATCACTGCTGGCAACCTTATACTTTTTGTCCCAAGGTCTACTCCAAGCAGTTTTGGCTGCTGGCAGACTTTGTACAAGGGACTCTCGTCATCAATCAGGCCGCTGAGAATTGAATGTTGATTACCATGTCATCCAGTCCTAGCTTTCCCTTGATCCTTCGTGATGAGTGGTATGGCTGAACGTGAACGAGCAGCCAACATAGAAGTCTCAGACTCCTCCCGCAATCTCAGACTCGTAGGTTTTGAGATGTTTTGAGCTTGAACTTGGGCACTTGCAGTCTTGGGCCGAGGAATGCCATGCAACAGCATGACACCCAAATGGTTCTCTCCATTCTCTCCTTCATCGAGGCGTCACAGACGGATTGGAAAAACGGTCACGAAGCGGGATGAAGTGAAGTGGGAGCTGCTTCTGTTCATTCAGTCCGTGCTAGCTGATGGGCAGAGGGATTTCATCCGAGCTCTTAGGATGCTCGTTTGAGAGGCAAACAGACTTGGTCCCTTTTTTTTTGGTGTTCAAAGAGCGTTGAATCATATAGTATAGTTCGCTTGAAATCACTTGAAAACATATCTCTCTTACTACTTGCCTGAAATGACCCGATGTCCACTGGGCTCGGAACAAAACAGAGAAACTGATCCTGAAGACCTCGTGCTGCTGCACCTTAAAAACTGAGAGGACCCTGCTCCAAGGCAACTGAGAGGACCCTGCTCCAAGGCTTAATTCCTTTTTCAGCCATTCTTCGTATCAGGTCATGTCAAGCTTCTTCCATCATCACGACGTTGCTGTTGTGAAGTCAGCTACAGTAGACGGACGACCCGCGGAAGACGGCCCGCGATCTTTGGGGATGATGACATTCAACACTTTTAACGTCTTTACGACTTGAAATTCGTGGTATATAATTGGAACACGTGAAGATATTGTGATGGCCCTAGTACTTCTGAGAATGGTTCCATGAGCTCGTGAAGTCATGTCGTCAGGACATGACTTGGCTGTTTGCGTGGTTTCCACATAAAACGGTTTGGCTGAATCCTCTTTTTGCCGCGAAAGCGCCAGGGCAAGGCTTTGTCTGCCTCAGAGCGGCAGATCGCTTGCTCTGTCAGCCGGCGGGCCGTGCTGCCCGATCGGGTGCAGCTGCGTGGGTGGTTCGATGTCTTGGCAAAGTCGCTGGTGGAGGCCCGGCTCGTCAGGGACAGAAGACCACACGGCCGCGCGTCTGCAACGTTTTGGTAGAATACCAGTGGCCATCATCTAGTGGCGGTATGCTTTAAACAACGTAGATCGTCAAGGTCCATCGCACAATCTATAGATAGTATCATTTTATCATTGTTCAGATCTGTTCTGCCTGGTGCACCCCGAAGGGAGCTAGAGGAGTGGGTGAGAGTGGTCGGACCTTTCCAATTTCGTCCGACTTGGGGAGAAACAGCTGAAGAAGGGCCTCGAAAAGCGGATTGTCCTTTCATCCCCGATTGATTTTTATTGTAAGGGCTCCGCCCGGGTGCCGCCGACCCCTTTTCATCTCGAGGGTTTGGCGGTTGAACCTTGACAACTTCCTGGGATTCAACAGCGAGACTTGGATGGGCTTCACACCAATGCTGGCATTCAAGCCACAGCGATGTAGAATGCAGGTGGCTAGGAGCTCTGGTAGACTTTGTTTTATAGTATATAAGGATTCTTCAAGGGTCGAGCGCCAAAGAGTTTGATCGTGCTTGGACACGGCATTTGGCGCGACATCTGGTGTGAACCGGAGAGCTTTGCTCAAGCTGCCTTGGTCTCAGCTAGCTGCAGCCTCACGCCAACCTGCTGCTGGTGGGAGGAGGCCAGGAGCCTGTGCTGTAGTCCTGCCTCGGAAAAACCTGCCAGCAATGGATTAGCACACGTTGGCCAGCAGGGCTTAGGTAACAACTTGAGTATGCTGCAGTGTAACAGTGGCTAGAAGAGGGCAAGGCTGCGGTGAGGCTCTGGGGAGCGTTTGAAGCCGAGCCAAAATGCCTAACGTCGCCTTCGGAAGCCCATAAGAAGAGAGGAGGCAGGCTTCGGACAGGCCACAGAGAGGCCGCAACAGGCCTGCCAGCTGCCGAGGAGCGTTTGAAGGCGGTCCAAAATGCCTAACGTCGCCTTCGGAAGCCCATAAGAAGAGAGGAGGCAGGCTTCGGACAGGCCACAGAGAGGCCGCAACAGGCCTGCCAGCTGCCGAGGAGCGTTTGAAGGCGGTCCAAAATGCCTAACGTTGCCTTCGGAAGCCCATAAGAAAAGAGGAGCCAGGCCTGCCAGCTGCCGAGAAGAGGGCAAGGCTGCGGTGAGGCTCTGGGGAGCGTTTGAAGCCGAGCCAAAATGCCTAACGTTGCCTTCGGAAGCCCATAAGAA